TCATATTATTTCTACTGTCATGAAAAATGAACAAATTTAGATTCCTGTAGTCCACATTCCTTTTGGGAAGCAGAGCTAAAAAATCAAACTCCAAAAATATTTCTTTGTCCAAGATTCTGCAACCTACTATATTATAAGATACAAAAGAATGACCAGAGGATGATTTGTCTTCAAGACTTAAAACAACGAGAACTATGAACATTAAACAATGGATTTTCAACATATACCCTTTAATGAATGTTTTAGAACACTTTGATGCTAGACAACGGCCATGAGGAACATTACTTAGAAAGATGGAACAATTAATTATCCAAGGCTAAATTATCATATACGTAGAACGGACTGAAACTCAGGAGTAGTAGGCTTTGCAAAATAAAAAAAATAAGTAAATAAACACAACAGCCTTCTTATCTAAAATACTCCTTAGACTTGGATTATGTAAGACTTAATAATACTTGCAAAAATATTTACAGTTAATTATTGGAAGATATGAGTAAATTAAAAATGAGATAATTAAATTTTAATTCTCCCTAGTATAAAAAGGAAGATACCTCCCTTTCCTTAAAGCATCTACTTTGAAAACTTGTAATTGTGGATTTTCTCTGCCGACTTGGGATATACATAAATCCTTTAAAAAGATTTGTAAGGGTGGTTCTTGGACCTAGCTGTCAAGTAGCCGCATCCCATATTGGAGTGCCTCAGTCCAATACCCGCCTACAGCTCCTAATCCTAATTTCCTGCTGATGCATTTTCTGTGAAGGAGCAGTGATGGCTCAAGTAATTGGATTCTTGCCACCCAGGGGAAGGACCTGGATTGAGTTTCTGGCTCCTGGCTTTAGAATTGGCCCAGCCCCAGCCATTGTGGGCATTCAGAGAGTGAACCAGCAAGTGGGAAACCTCTCTGAAAAGTGGGCAAGCATCTAGACTAGCAGTTAAGACACCAGTTAGATTCTAAATGCCAGTTTAAGCCTCAACTCATCTCCTGATCCCGACTTCCCACTAATGTGCACTTTGGTAGGCAGCAGTGATGGTCCACATTATTGGGTTGCCGCTACCCACAAATGTACCTAGATTGAGTTCCTGTCTCCTGGCTTTGGCCCAACCCAGTCCTGGTCATTGCAGGCTTTTGGGAAATGAGCCAGGGGATGAAACTCTGTCTCTGTTTGCCTCTCTCTCTGTGGCTCTCTGCCTCTCAAATAAATAAATGTTAAAAAATTCATTTGAAAGAATTAAATAAGTCAGTAGCCAGCTTTTACAATTCAAGATATCCTTTAAATTTAATCATTAAGGAAGCTGGCACCCTGCCTTTTAGTTTCTTTGGATGATAAGAGCCTAACTTTGGCTGGTGTCTCACTCCAAACAACTTGTCATAAAAATATTAGAAGTTTATTTTTCCCATTGATTAAACCAGTGAGCTAACACAGATAGTCACTCCAGTTACCAAATGAGTTTAGGATACACTGAGAAATTGTGCTGTTAAATCCTCTTTATTTGAGGATTAGTCATAATTTTTTTGAGAATATGAATGTAACAGCTTGGTATATAAATGGGTGAGATTTTTCTGTCTTTATAATGTCTTAAGTGAGTGTTTGTGATGCTATATAGCACATTCTGATTTAATGCTTATTTAATCATAAAATGTTTTATTTTCTATCTCTTTTTTTTTTGGCTGAGTGGGAGGTTTTATTTGTAACTGTATTTTTCCAACATTTAACATGATATTTAAGGTATTGTATTAGTCAGGGTTATACCCTCTACGGCACTCCCCAAAAATAGAACCAATAGGGTATATATACAGATGTACAGAGAAATATTTTAATGTTTATCTTCATCTACTTGGCAGAGGTATGTGTGTGTGTGTGTGTGAGAGAGAGAGAGAGAGAGAGTGTGTGCACAGAGAGAGAGCGTGAGCAGAGAGAGAGAGTGCAGAGAGATCTTCTATGTACTGATTCATTGCCAAAATGCCTGCAACAATCAGGGCTAGGCACAGGTGGAAACCAGGAGTGGGAACCCCATCTGGATTTCCCAGATGGGTGGCAGGGGGCCAAGCACTTGAGTGATCATCCACTGCTTCAGGATGCGTTAGCAGGAACCTGAGTTGGAAACAGAGACAGAGGAGCCAGGACTTGAACCAGTGCTCCAATATGCAATGCAGGCATAATAAGTGTTGGCTTAACTTCTCTGTGCCCTAGAGAAATGAGTTATCATGAGGGGTTGGCTGATTGGTTATGTAGGTTTAGAAGTCCCATGATTACCATCTGCAAGCTGGAGAAACAGGAGAGCTGGTTCTATAACTCAGTCTGAGTGTGAAAGCCCAAGAACTGGGGGCACTGATGTGTGAGGGCAGGAGGATAAGCTCAAGGAGAGAACAAAATCAACTTTCCTCTGCCTTTTTGATTCTGTGTGGGTCCTCAAAGGACTGGATGATGCTCAACCACATTGTTGAGGGCAATCTAATGTTTACTCAGTCTTCTGATCCAATGCCAACTTCTGGAAGAACCTTCACAAAGACATCCCTCATTAGCTATCTAATATCCTTTATCCCACTCATAACACAAAAAAATCAGCTATCACAATTATATTTTCTCAGTATTATCTAACTTCTCTGTGTTTCAGTTTATGTAAAATGGACATTATAAAGCTAACCTCATGGAGGTATTGGAAGGACTGAAATAATGAATATGTGTAAACTTGTTAAAATAGTATGGCCCATATTAAGTGCTATGGAAGCTTTTACTGTTATTGTTAGTTACCATATTCCAGAGTCATGGTGTTAAAGATATTTTACTATATTCCTACCCATTATCTCAGGTAACTATTTAGTAGTTTAACTATTCCAGAGACCCAAATATAATGTTTCATAAAATAGGAGCATATTTATATCTTTAACCATTACTTTTAAAATGAAGCATTGTAATTTATCCTATTTGTTGGGAGATATGTGTTTGTGTATATTTCAATGTGTTGGCATATTTTCCTTCCTGGTAATTGTACAATAGGCAATTTAAATTTGTAACTTCTCATCCAGTAACTATGACAAATCTCATTTCAAAAATGATGGTTTAAGATAAAATTGGGAAAAAAAACATAAAATATAGGGACAGATATTAACTCAACTATTAAGATGCTTGGACACTGGCATCCAATGTTAGAGGGCCTGGTTTGAGGCTTGGCTTTGATTCTAATTCCAGATTCCCATTCATGTTCACCCTTGGAGGCAGCAGGTAATGGCTCAGGTACTTGGGTTCCTCCTACCCATGTGGGAAAATTGGATTGAGTCTGGGCTCCTGGCTTTAGCCTGGCCCAGAGCTTCCAGTTGCAGGCATTTGAGGAGTAAACCAATAGATGAAAGATCCCTCTTTCTCTATCTCATTGCTTTTCAAATAAAATAAAATTTTAAGTAAGTGAAAGTTTTAAAAGACAGTAGTAATAATAAAAAGCTAGTGAAGATTTAATCCCAAAATTTTCTAATTAAAAGATCTGAGTCATGCTGATAAAGTAGGACAGTTAACAAGTCAGAAGTTACTTTGCTATATTTCCCTCTACAAAAATCTCTGTTTCTGTACTGCTTTTAAGACATTATTGACGTTTTTAGTTAGCTAGTCAGAGCCTCACACCACTTAATCCCCTTTCTAGCCTTTCCACTCAACTCAGGTCAACAGCTATGTCAGCTGGTCACCTGAGACTCATTACTGTGCTCCAGACAAGCAATGCTTTCCCATGCCTCAGTGGTTCTTGTGGTGCTGATTCTTTTAAGTAGAATACTCTGTTAATGTCTTCTCGCTATAAAAGGGTGGTGTCACCTCGTTTGGTCTCTCGTTTTTCCACTGCTCTGGGACTCTATGTCAAGATGAAGAACAGACTTTGCCCACACACCTGTGGATAATTAGCCCTGATGCGCCTTCCAGAGCTTCTTGTATAAAGAGCTTCCAGGGTTGGTTCAGGGTGCTGCATTGTCCTACTTCTCCTGGACTGTTAACGTTTACCTTCCAGCAGGACAGCGTACAAAAACCTCAAACACAGAGAGGCCTCTGGTGGATGGAGGGACAGTAGCAAACACACTAATGATTTCGCTCTCCTATTTTCCTTTTGAGGAATGTCACCGGAAAGTGATTGTGCTTAAAAGAGTATGTAAGACCTCTACACTCACTGCTTGTAGCCCCTGGATGACCCTGGATCAGGTGGAGGTGAATCTCCTCCTCTTTAGCAAGAGTGGATTTAATGGAGATGGACTGAAGCCAGGAGCTTCTTCTAGGTCTCCCACGTGGTTGTAGGGGCCCAAGGACTTGGGCCATCTTCTGCTGCTTTTCTTGGCCATAACGGAGAGCTGGATTGGAAGTGGAGCGGCCAGGACTTGAACCGGAGCCCATATGGGATGCTGGCACTGTTGATGGCAGCTTTACCCGCTAAGCCACAGCATCAGTCCCCCACATTTTCTTTATCTAGTGATCAGTTGATGGACTCCTAGGTTGATTCTATTTATTTACTATTATGAATTGAGCAGCTGTAAGCATGGAAGCACAGGTATCTCATATGCTGATTTCATTTCCTTTGGGTCTATTCCCAGGAATATGGGCAATATGGAAGAACTATTTTTAGTTTTCTGAGGAATCTCCATAACGTCTTCCATAATGGTTGTACCAGTTTACATTCCCACCAACAGTGTGTAGCTGAGTAGTTTTGTAGATCACATCTCATCCATGAGCCTCCATTTCTTCAGCTATAAAGTGACAAAACTGGTATCTTCTTGAGAGAGTGGTTAGGAGAATTGAACATACATGGTAGGAAATTATCATCGTATCTTTGATAGTGATCAATCAGTTTAATGTTGATTAAGGGTTTACATTTTATGTATTATTGGGCTTAAATAACTGCCTTTATTTAAAGTGTGATTCACACATTTCATTATTTGTAGTTTTCTTGGTAATCAATTTGTATATAATTTTCTTCTTCATAGGGAAGAAAATTTTCTCATAATTCTTATCTGTGTTTGCTTGCAGATATTATTTATCAAATTGAACTTTTGAATGTTGATTGAGGTAAGCACCATTGGGTATATTTCTGATGGTGGCAGCTCTAAGTTTATGCTGTTTTTTTTTTTTTTTTTGACAGGCAGAGTGGACAGTGAGAGAGAGAGACAGAGAGAAAGGTCTTCCTTTGCCGTTGGTTCACCCTCCAATGGCCGCCGCTGCAGCTGGCGCACCGCGCTGATCCGATGGCAGGAGCCAGGATCCAGGTGCTTTTCCTGGTCTCCCATGGGGTGCAGGGCCCAAGCACCTGGGCCATCCTCCACTGCACTCCCTGGCCATAGCAGAGAGCTGGCCTGGAAGAGGGGCAACCGGGACAGAATCTGGCGCCCCGACCGGGACTAGAACCCGGTGTGCCGGCGCCGCAAGGTGGAGGATTAGCCTATTGAGCCACGGCGCCGGCCTATGCTGTTCTTAATCTATGTAACTGCTGTACCATTTTGTTCCCTGTAAGCATTTACCATCCAAGATTGTGAGTAGATGGATTAAGTTCAACTGTGACAGTAGGCCTTGGGTTTCACTAAATAGATAAGGCAGAAAGATGGATGCAGGAGAACGGTGGGCAGTAGAAAAGGAGGAGTTCAGATGAATGTCATTAGGAATCAAGTTAGGAAAGCAGTGAAAATTAGTTTGGGTTGAGATGATAGAAGAAAACAGAGGCATCAAAATAGAGGATCTTTATGCATTGCAGTGTGTAATTTGAGAAAAGAAAAGAAACTAGTGATGTTATGAGAGTCAGTTATTGCAGACTTCTAAGGCCAAGGAACTCTAGGTGACAGTAAGATAAAGTATCTGGATTTGTGAGTAGGTAATTTACCTTATGATAATTAAAGGTAACAGCAATTTGCCTCTGTACTCAATCAGTTTTTTACATTGAAACCTACTCTGGTTTATTCTCAATCTCCCTCTTTCTCAGCTCTCACATCAAATCTATTAACAAGTTAGAACTTCAAGTTTCAGTATGTATCTAAAATCTTTTTAGTTCTTTTTATCTTGAACTAACACCACCATAACTACTTTTCTGTCTTTTCTTACTCAGATCTCTCTAGATTTATCCTTCCAAACAAAACAGTGTGGATTTTGAAGTCCAAACAAAGTTGTGTTGGTCCATTGCATTTGAAATAAAATTCTGAATCCTTAGTGTCCTTGGAGCTACTGTTCAATATTATCCAGCCTCTATTATTTTATTTTTTTCTTTTTATATTGACAGGCAGAGTGGACAGTGAGAGAGAGAGACAGAGAGAGAAAGGTCTTCCTTTGCCGTTGGTTCACCCTCCAATGGCCGCCGCTGCAGCTGGCGCACCGCGCTGATCCGATGGCAGGAGCCAGGATCCAGGTGCTTTTCCTGGTCTCCCATGGGGTGCAGGGCCCAAGCACCTGGGCCATCCTCCACTGCACTCCCTGGCCATAGCAGAGAGCTGGCCTGGAAGAGGGGCAACTGGGACAGAATCTGGCGCCCCAACCGGGACTAGAACCCGGTGTGCCGGCGCCGCGAGGTGGAGGATTAGCCTATTCCACGGCGCCGGCTTATCCAGCCTCTTTTTATACCTGAAGCACACCATCCATTTTCTTCCTCAAATTCAAACTCTTTGGTCTCAGGATAGGCACACACACTCTTTCATGACTGATTGATTCCTTCTGGTATCCACTCACGTGGCATCTCTTCAGAGAAGACTTCTCTGACCATCACATTAAAAGCAAATCCTCAGGGTGAGTGTTTGGCGCTGCAATTAAGTATTCCACATCAGAGTGCTTAGGTGTGAATCTTGCTTTTCAGATTCCAGCTTCCCGCTAACAGGCACCTGAGTGAGGAGGCAGCATGACGGTTCAACTACTTGGGTCCCTGCCACTCAGAGAGAAGACCAGGACTGAGATCTGGGCTTATGGTTTTGGGTTGTCCCAGCACTGGCTGTTACAGGCCTTTGAGGAGTGAACTAGCATGTGGCAAATAAACCCTCATATACCTATCGGTCATTTGTATGTCTTCTTTGAACTCATGTCCTTTTGTCATTTTTTGAGTTGGTTGTTACAGTTATTGTTTACTGGTGAGTTATATGAATTATTTATATCTTTTGGATATGAATCCTTTATCAGATACATGCTTTGAAAATATTTTTCCTATTCTTCTGCCTGGCTATTTCATTTTATTGATAGTTTCTTTTGCTGTGCAGAAGCTTTTTTGCTTGATATGATCCCATTTATTTACTTTTTTTTTGCCTTTTTTCCCCTGTATGTCCTATCAAAAAATCATTGCCAAGAAATTATTTTCCTATGTTTTCTTCTTGGAATTTTATAGCTTCAGATTTCACATTTAAGTACTTAATCCATTTCAAGTTCACTTTTGTGCATGGTATATGACAAGGATCCAATTCCACACTTTTGTGTGTGGCTATTCACTTTACCAGTGCCATTTATTGCAGACTATTTTTTCCCCGTTCTTGGCATCCTTGTCAAACATTAGATGCCCTGATATGAGTGGGTTTGTTTCTGGGGTATCTGTTCTGTTCCATGAGTCTATGTTACTATGCTAATACCATCCTGTTTTTTATTTCTAAAGCTTTGTAATATAGTTTGAAATCAGAAAGTATGATGCCTCCAGCTTTGTTCTTTCTCAAGATTTCTCTAGCTACAAGGGTATTTCAAATGGTTTGTAAAAAAAAAAAATTAAAGGGTAGGCTCCTTTTGGTACCAAGTGCTTTTGAAATCAATATGTAGTTTTTTCATAATATGTGTTTATCATGAACTCTTTGAAGACTCCTCATATTTGGACTGTTTTGTGGCTACATACAATTTTTAGTATTCTTTTTTAATCTGGGGAAAAATGCCATTGGAATGTCAGTAAGGATTGCATTGAATTTGTAGTTCATTTTGCTAGTATTGATATTTTAATAACATTAATTCTTCTAACCCATGAATACAGACTAGTTTTCCATTTACTCATGTCATTTTCAGTTTATTTCATACATATCTTATATTTTCAGTGTACATAGTAACTTTGTTGGTTAAATTTATTCCTGAGTATTTTCATTTACAGTAGCATTAAAAAATAAATTGTTTTCTTAATTTCTTTTTCAGATAGTTCACTATTTTTTTAAAATATTTTGTTTATTTATTTGATAGATTAACCAACAGAGAGAAGGAGACACAGAGAAAAATAGCTTCCATCCTCTGGTTCACTTCCCAAATGGCTGTAATGGCCAGAGATGAGCTGATCCAAAACTGGGAGCTAGAAGCTTCTGGGTCTCCCACTCAGGTGTAGGGGCCCAAGCACTTGGGTCATCTCTTACTGCTTTCCCAGGCCATAGCAGAGAGTTTGTTCAGAAGAGAAGCAGTTGGGACACGAACTGGCGCCCATATGGGATGCTGGTGCTGCAGGCAGAGAATTAGCCTACTGACATAGCACCAGCTCCAGAAGGTTCACTATTATTGTAATAGAAACAGTGACTTTTTTAAAATTAAAAACTAATAAATGATTTTTTTCCACAGTGGCTAAGTTATTTCTGGAATTTTCCATGTTATATTCAGATCATGATTGACAGGTAGCTGAAACCACAAAAAGTAAAATCATAGAAAAGGGGTGACTACAGCATTCCTTTTCATCTCATTTTGATTTATTTTTCATTTCCTTTTTTAATTTTTAAATTTTAATTTTTAGTTAGTTATTAACTGATTCATGTTACCCTTCCTCCCTGTCTCTCACCATCTTTCCTTCTCCCTTTCTTTCTGCCTTTCTTTATTTCTCTTTCTTTCTTTCTTTTTAGTTTTTGAGATAATAAATTTTAAAATTACACTACAGTGAAAAGTCTTAATACTTCACAGAATAAGAAGTTTAACAGGTAAAAACAAAAAGACCCTAAGTTAGTGGGAATATAGGCAATGACTCTAAACAATAATTGAATGGAAAAAATGGCCATTGCACCCATGTACAGTAAATTTTAAAGCAATCACACATCATTTATACCTTCGCAGTTTAACATTCTTAACCATTGTTTTGACAAAGATATGAAACAATGTTTTACAAAACTGTGTTTGCCACAATATTGATATCGACAGACATTTCTTTTTATGTGTGTGTTTTTTAAATTTTAGCATCCACATAGAAGGGAGAGCAATGCAGTATTTGTCTTTCTGGGTCTGGCTTATTTCACTCAACATGATGTCATCCAGTTGCATCCATTTTGCTGCAAATGGAAGAAATTCATTCTTTTTATAGCTGAATTATATTCCATTGTATATATATACACCACATTTTTTTTAATCCAGTCATCTGATGATGGATACCTTGGTTGGTTCCAAATTTTGGCTATTGTGAACAGTGCTGCCATAAACATGGTGGTGCAGGTATCTCTTTGATTCATTGTGTTCAATCTTTTTGGGTATATACCCAAGTAGTGGGATTACTGGATCACATAGCAAGTTTATTTCTAGTTTTTTAAGAAATTGCCACACTGTTTTCCACAGTGGCTGCACTAATTTACACTCCCACCAGCAGTGTAAAAATGTTCCTCTTCCTCCACATCCTCACCAGCATTGTTACTCTCTGTGTTTGGATTCTATCTATTGTGACAGGGCGAGATAATATCTCATTGTAGTTTTGACTTGCATTTCCCCGATGGCTAGTGATGTTGAGCATTTTTTCATATATTTTCTTTTGAGAACTGTCTATTGATGTCCATTGCCTGGTTCTCAACTGAATTTTGTTGTTCTTGAGTCTTGAGATGCTAGGTCTTCCTTCCGTTGGTTCCATTGGTTCACTCCCCAAATGGCTGCTATGGCCGGAGCTACACCAATCTGAAGCCAGGAGCCAGGTGATTTCTTCTGGTCTCCCATGCGGGTGCAGGGGCCCAAGCAGCTAGGCCATCCTCCACTGTCTTCCCCAGGCCACAGCAGGGAGCTGGACTGGAAGAGGAGCAACCAGGACTAGAACCTGCGCTCATATGGGATGCCGATGCTGCAGGCGGAGGATTAACCAAGTGAGCCACGGCACCAGCCCCACCACAGTGTTTTCACACTCCCACCACACGAAGTTCTAACAGTCATGAGCACCCAGCCCCCTGTCAATTCTCCTAGCCAGACTCTGTTGTCTCCTCTCGGCTGGTTGCTGCATGCTGAACACTAGCTGGTACAGCTGTTACTTGTGTCCAAAATGGCATCCATCCTCTGTCAGCTAGTTACAGAACACTGGTGCTGGGTGTTTGGAGAAAGAGAACTATGCCCTCGTTTTTTTCCTATTGGTTGGCAAGTACCCTGTTCTCCGCAGAGCTCAAGCTGGACTCTTGCCAGGTTCTTCCCGCAGCTTCATCGCCAGTGGCTTGAGCTGCTGCACTCTGGTCTCATCTCACTCTCCAAAGCTGGCGCTGAGGCTGTCCACTGCTGGGGTCCTGAGTTGTGCGCATCCACACCCTCCACATAGATCCACAGTGTTCCTCTAACTTGCGTGGAGTTTCCTCTGCAGTTTTCTCCCTCCCTCTTCCCTGAGATTGCACTCTCTCTACTTTTTTTTTTTTTTTTTTTGGTATCTTCCCCTAGACTAGAGCAGTAAGTTCCCTCCCTATTCTACCATCTTGGAAATGCAGAAAGAATACATTGATTTGCGTAAGACAACATGGAAAGGAGCTACATTTAAATGCTATGTAAATAAATCTAGCCACAGATAAGTTTGTGTCATACGTTTCCATTAAACTTGGAGCTTCAATATAGGGAAGTACCAAGGTTGATGGAATGGAGCTCCAGAGATTATTCTGTGGCTCCAGCTCAGTTACCCCTAACTGTAGCCATACTCTGCTGTCATCTTGGAGACTTAAGAAAGTACAAATGATTAGGATCTAAAGTAGAAAATTGAATCAGAGTCTGGGGAGGAATTCAGACATTGAAGTTTCTACAAAGCTCTCCAAATATTCTTATCTGTCCAAATTTTAAAACTGTTGAGATTTGAGCCATATTTATAAATTGCAGTTCCTGGAACTCTGCATTTCTTGCCTTAGTCTCTTGACTCTCAAAGCTCCTTTTGCATGGAAAGATTTCACAACCCTTGTCTCCTCATCTGTTGATGTTCATCAGATGAAATTATTTGTCCGGTGAGTATCTGTTGGAGGCATGGCTTTAATGATGTCTATAATGAGGCAAGTTCCTGTCTACTGCCAGAACATGTGCTCCCTCTGAGACTTATCTCCCCTGACTCTTGTCTTCCTTATGCAGAGATCTTTATAGGAGACATATAAATAGAGTGGACGTTGAATAGGACTCAAGAGTGAACAAGACTGCCACGGTCTCCCTTTGTACCATTTCTTCTTCTGGAGGTAGGTTATTTGAGGCATAAATTATGATGGCTTTTACATGTTGAATTGCTGTTAGGATTTCTTCAGATCTGGTCCTTTTAGTAACAGCTATTCATGATTTTCTGAGGAATAAATTGAAATGCATGTACTCGGAAATGTTATGAAGAATATTATCTGGGGAATTTTCTATATGCATTAGTTAACATGGTTATTTCTGGTTGATTTTAGCAGTGGAGGAGGAAGGGAATGAGCTTCCCTAGTGAAAAGCACGGAATACAGAAACTCAGGAGTTATAACTGCCTTTTTCTTGAATGGGAGAATATAGAAAGTCTATTCTTTGAAAAGTTATGATGCTTTATGTCATAACTGTTCTTAAAGTTTCTCTGTAACACTCTTCTAGGTTGACTAAGGATATCAAATGGCCAACTTCTCATTCAGGATCAAAACCCTTTTTATTGCCATGCTGGCACTTTATCTTTCTTGTGGTGAGTATATTTTATAATCCTGGTCCTAAAAATTTGATGCCACGTAGCCAAGGTTTGATATATCCTAGGAACACTATTGTTTGTTCCATTTTGTTTAGAATCATTGAATTGGCAAACTAAATAGAACACAGTGCAAATGCTCTTTTGAAATATGTTGGTAGAGTTTTTTTCTCCTGTCATATGAAAGCAGAAAACTACTTAGTGATTATGAATGACACTGAATTCTGGGGCAGGATAACATATTTCCTTTCTTATTGCTGCAGCTGAAGCACTTCAACTAAATCCTTTATGTGTTTTAGACATAATATGCTCCAATGGAATTTGTTATAATAATGTTATTTGAGACTAATTTTCATTATTTATTTTAACAGCATAGTTTTTCATCAGACAAGCTCTGGGGACATTTAGTCTGCTTTAAAACTCATAAATGTCTTTTACTCTGTGACACAATTATGTGGTTGTTGAAAAAATCTTGGAAACAGTTCAGGAAGCTTGACTCTGAGTTCTAATTCCAGGCTTGTGAAAGTCATTGTCTCCTTTGGTCTTCAGTTTACTAATCTATTAGATGTGGATAACAAAGAACATTATATTTTAGGCCAGTGCCTCGGCTCAATAGGCTAATCCTCCACCTGCGGCGCCAGCACACTGGATTCTAGTCCCGGTCAGGGCGCTGGATTCTGTCCCGGTTGCTCCTCTTCCAGTCCAGCTCTCTGCTGTGGCCAGGGAGTGCAGTGGAGGATGGCGCAAGTCCTTGGGCCCTGCACCCCATGGGAGACCAGAAGCACCTGGCTCCTGCCTTCGGATCAGCACGGTGCGCCAGCCGTAGCGGCCATTGGAGAGTGAACCAACGGCAAAGGAAGACCTTTCTCTCTGTCTCTCTCTCTCACTATCCACTCTGCCTGTCAAAAAAAAAAAAAAAAAGAACATTGTATTTTCAAGTGTGGGTGTTATAGATTTTAACACTGCAATGTATTCAGCACAGAGTTCAGTCTACTGCAAGAACCAGCACTCGGCCGCCCACAGTCAGTGTCAAAGACTCACTTAATGCCTTGTGGCTTCTCCATTGATGACCTGAATCCCTTTCGTGTTACAATAGATGTGATCCTAGGAAATGCCAAGTTATTTAATTTATTTTTTATTTGTGCAGATACTGTATCATCTTTCGCATCTAGTTTTTTGGCAGAGGTAAGTTGGCCATATGTTAAGCAGTTGAAAATAGTCAATTTTTAAAATCTTTATTGTGATATTAACTGTTACATGAAAAATGCTGGCAACAAACATGATGTTTATGCTAAAAGCCATTAAAACTGGAGTGCAATGATACCTCCAAAAAAATAAGAAGTGCTGGTAAGAATGTGGAGAAAAGAGAACATTATACACTGTTGGTGGGAATGCAACTTAGCACTTCTATAATGGAGAACAGTTTGGAGGTTCCTCAAAAATTGAAAATATACCTTATGACATAGCCATCCCAGTTCAGGATATGTATCTGAAGGAAATACAATGAGCATATGACAGAGATACCTGCACTCTCATGTTCATTGAAGCACCTTCACAACAGCCAAGATAAAGAATCAACCTAGGTGTTCATCCATGGATGAATGGATAAAGAAAATGGGATATAGATAGACAATGGGATATTATTAAACAATAAAATTAAACCCTCTTATTTGTAGCAAAATGTATAGATTTGGAAATTATTATATTAAGTGAAATAGGCCAAACAGAAAGACAAATACTATGTCTTCTTTCTCATACATGATTCAAAATTTATTTGAACTTAGAAGAGTGATTCCTAGAGGTTGGAAAGGGAAGAGGGAAAGAAGGGAAGATGGGGGAGAGTATCTTTGGGTACCCAGCACATATAGGAATTAACACACCCTAGTGATTCACAGTGTAATAGGTAAACTATAGTTCATAATAATGTATCATAAACTGTATAAAAAACTGAAAGAGAGGAGCTGGTGAGTTCAAAACAAAAAGAGGAGATGAGGAAATAGAAGGTCTAGTTGCCTGGTTTGATTAGTTTATGTTAATATGTGTGTTGAAATATTAAATTGTACCCCACAAAATGTGCATGTTTATCAAAAAATGTTACATGTTAGTCAAATATTTTTAAAAATAAAATAATTTTAAATGATGTATTACAGAGTTACACTTGGAGTTACTTTCTCTCTTCAGGATAAGTTAGAAATTTATGGACTTCAGAAATGTTCTTATTCATGTAAAAATTCCCTCATCTTTGCTAGCTGCTAGTACTCTATCATGTACAGGTACAGGAGATAATCCACTCACTAATATTTCAGCATTTGAATAGCAACATTTTGCAATTGAAGATAATATTTCCGTGAGTAACCTTGTGCAATAACCTTTTCAAAATAAAATTTTAGGTTGTGACTACAACTATAAAATATAAAAATGTGTTCTTTTGTTAGCAATAATCCACAAATTTTACTACATAGGAAAGATATTCTCCATTGAATTGTCTTAATTTGCATTCCCATTAACAATGATAAGAATGCCTTGGTCCCCACAGTCTTCCATCAGCATAGAGCTATCAGCCAGCACCATGGCTCACTAGGCTAATCCTCCGCTTGCAGCGCCAGCACCCCGGGTTCTAGTCCCGGTCGGGCTCCGGGTTCTGTCCCAGTTGTTCCTCTTCCAGTCCAGCTCTCTGCTGTGGCCTGGGAAGGCAGTGGAGGATGGCCCAAGTGCATGGGAGACCAAGAGGAGGCACCTGGCTTCGGATCGGCGCAGTGCGCCAGCCGCAGCGCGAAGGCTGTAGCAGCCATTTGGGGGTTGAACCAACGGAAAAGGAAGCCCTTTCTCTCTCTCTCTCTCTCTGTCTATGTCCACTCTGCCTGTCAAAAAAAAAAAAAAAAAAAAGAGTAGAGCTATCAAAGGCTTTTAATTTCTGTATGTGAGAGTGATCTTTTATGAGATAGTGAAGATTTTACAAATTTGTGTTTTTTCTGACTATGAATAAAATGAAACATCATTTCGTATGTTTCAAAGTCATTTTTCCATTTTCTTTAGAATGATTTTGCTCATAAATTTTGAGCATTTTTCTTAGACATTTGTTTTTGTCACATTTTTATGAGTTTTGAATTATGTCATCACATTATTATGCTATATACTTTGAAAATATTTTCAGTGTCTTCTCTTTTTTTAAGATTTATTTATTTATTTGAAAGCCAGATTTACAGAGAGAGGCAGAGAGAGAGAGACAGAGAGAGAGAGAGTTTCCATCTGATGGTTCACTCCCCACATGGCCACAACAGTTGAAGGTGGGCCAGGCCAAGGCCAGGAGCCTGAAGTTCCATCTTGGTGTCCCACATGGATGGCAGGGCCCAAGTGCTTGGGCCATCTTCTCCTGCTTCTTAGGTGCGTGAACAAGGAGCAGTATCAGAAGCAGAGCAAGGGTGCCAGTTCTAGTCCCAGCTGCTCCTCTTCTGATCCAGCTGTCTGCTGTGGCCTGGGAAGGTAGAAGATGGCCCAAGTACTTGATCCCCTGCACCCACACGGGAGACCAGAAGAAACTCCTGGCTCCTGGCTCCTGGCTCCTAGATCCTGGCTCCTGGCTTCTGTTTCCTGGCTTTGGATCAGCCCAGCTCCAGCTGTTGCAGCTATTTGGGGGAGTGAACCAGCGAATAGAAGACCTTTCTTTCTGTCTCCCCGTCTCACTATCTATAACTCTACCTCTCAGATAAATAAATAAAACAAACAAACAAAAAAAGAAGACGAAGAAGGAGAGCAGCTTGGACCAGAGCCAGCACTCCAATAGGAATGCTGGCTTTCAGGAGCAGCTTAACCTGCTCTGCCAGAGCTCAGGCCCCTACTTCCATTTCTTATGCTCCTAATTGAATCACCTTGTTAGTACATTGAGTGGAATATGAATACAATGTTGGAGACAATGGGCATACTTGCCCTTTTTTATTTTTTATGTTTTCTGTTTAGCAAAAATACCTAAAATGAGATGCTGATTTGTGTGGGTGTGTGTATGTATATGTTAGAGAACTGTCCATTAAATGATGGATTCTTAAGTATCCTTAGGAAGAATTTATGTTGAATTTGTCAAATGATCACACAGCACTTAAGCAGTTAATCAAACCATTTTTCTCCTTAGAATTCTTCATATGGTGTGTTATATAAATACCTTTCTATTATTGTATAGAGCTTGTATAACAGATCATTTGGTTATATAACATTCATTTGGACATTGCTTTTTTTAAATTGTGTTTCATTTCATTCAGTAGTATGTGTGATATTGTATAGAAATTTATTGTGATTTTTAAAACCAATTTAGGCATCTATATGGTCTATAATATACATGCTTCATTAAAACATACTTCAATACAACTTCTATTTTTCTGTTCTTTGAAACAGTACATATGACATAGGGGTTATCTGATTTTGAGAATTGAATCCTTCTCTTGAAAGGCATGTCTTTGGAGGTGCTACTTTTTGTGTGTGTGATTTTGCCTAATTGTTTTCACTTTTAAAGGTATTTATTTATTTGAAAGGCGAAGTTAGAGAGAGAGAATGGTTCATCCACTGGTTCACTCCCCAAATAGCCACAATGGCTGGAGCTAGGCCAGTACAAAGCCAGGAACCTGAAACTCCATCTGGGATCCCATGTGAGAGGCAGGGACTTTGACTGTCATGTACTGTTTTCCCAGGAACGTGGATAAAAATAGAGCAGCTGGAACAGGAACTGGCACACATATGTTATGCCAGCTTCATAGGCATCACCTAAACTCTGAGCCACAAGGCTGGCCCCGCATGTTTTCAGTTTTTAAGTGGAAATATGGCTTTTAAGTTTTCTGTGTTTAATGAGGTTTAGTTGGACAAACCGTTTTTCTAAAAAGTTAGTCATTCTTTTCTGGAATTTCAGGTTGACTTGTGATGAAGTATGCCTAGTAGTTGTCTATATTTTTTTTAATTTGCTGTATTTCTATAACTTTATTCTATTACTGTACATTGAGTACCATCACATTTTTAAAACTAACTTAGCTTCTTTGTTATGTTATATTTTCAAAGAAACTGGATTTTGGCTCATTATTTGTTAAATATATAATATTAATTTGTGGTTTAGTCTTTCTAGTTTTCTGCTTTATGCTTTTTATTTTAATTATTTGTTCAATTCTGTCTTTTTGACAGAAAATGTAATTCCCTTTTCCTTCTTGTTGATATAAACATTTAAAGCTTAGTATTTTATGTTTTGATCACTGCTTTAAATGTATCAAGTTGATGCTAATATAGATTACAATCATTTTCGTCATGTTTTGGAAACACTCTAACTTCAGTTTTTATTTTTCCTTTCATGAAAGTTTTATTGAAAATATTTTTGTTTAATTCAAGGTGTGATAAACTTTTAAAAGTTTTGAATTTTAGAAGTATTGTTGGCCGGTGCCGCGGCTCAATAGGCTAATCCTCCACCTTGCGGCGCCGGCACACTGGGTTCTAGTCCCGGTCAGTGCGCCGGATTCTGTCCCGGTTGCCCCTCTTCCAGGCCAGCTCTCTGCTGTGGCCAGGGAGTGCAGTGGAGGATGGCCCAAGTGCTTGGGCCCTGCACCCCATGGGAGACCAGGAGAAGCACCTGGCTCCTGGCTTCGGATCAGCGCCGTGCGCCGGCCATTGGAGGGTGAACCAATGGCAAAAGGAAGACCTTTCTCTCTGTCTCTCTCTCTCACTATCCACTCTGCCTGTCAAAAAAAAAAAAAGTATTGTTAACTTATTTCATTCTATTATGATTAGTATTATTTATATTAGTTTACTTACTAGAAATTACTGTTACTTTTGTGATATTACTTAGTGAAAGTCCAGTGCGTGCTTGAGGAAAAGGTATATATTATTAGAGTATACTTTTTGGTACATACTTGAAAATATACAGTATGGTGATATTCTTTTGTTTTGATATCCCAGCATCTTTGTGGTTGCTGACCTGTCTTATATGAGAATGGTGTGCTGTAGTCTATTATTACTGTGTTTGTGTCTATTTCTGTTACTTCTTTTAGTTTTTGTTTCATAAAGGTGATTTCTTAGTTATGTGATATATAGATATTTGGAAATGTTAGCTCTTTCTTATAAATTGTACCTTTTGGCATATAAAGTATACTTTCTTATCATATTTCATAGCTTTTAACTTGAACTCTACTTTGTCTAATGGTGGCAATGCAATCTATGTTTTCTACTTTTATCCTTAGCAGAATGCATTTCCCTGTTATTTCTAATTTTAAAAGATTTATATATTAATATAGTTATTTGGAAGGCAGAGTGAGCACACTAATAAAGAGAACAGAGAGACATCTTCTATCCTCTGGTTCTCTCTGCAATTGCCCCCAAAAGCCAGGGCTGGGCCCGTTTGAAACAGGGAGCCAAGACTTCCTCCATGTCACCAATGTGGGTGGCAAGGATGCAAGTTAACAGATCCATATCTGCTTCCTTTCTGGCACATCAATAGAAAGCTGGATTGGAAATGGAGTCATTAGAACTCAAACTGGCACTCCAATACAGGCCACAGGCCTCCTAAGCAGCCACTTAACCCACTGTGGTAATGCCACCTCTATTCTAAACATTTTAATTCACTTTGACTTAAGTATACTGAAGCTGAAAATCTATTTTAAAAAATGAGATGTATCCATTCACACCTTGGTATAATAGATTTGGTCTCAATAAAGCCATATACTTTGTTGCATAGAATTACTATGCCTGGGCCAGCACTGTGGCGTAGCAGGTAAAGCCACTGCCTGCAGTGCCAGCATCCCATTTGGGTGCCAATATGAGTCCTGGCTGCTCCACTTCCAGTGCAGCCTCTCTGCTATGGCCTGGGAAAACATTAGAAGATGGTCCAAGTCCTTGGGCCCCTGCACCTGCGTGGGAGACCAGGAATGAAGCTCCTGGCACCTGGCTTCAGATTGGCACAGCTCCAGCCATTGTGGCTAACTGGAGAGTGAACCAGCAGATGAAATATTTTCTCTCTCTCTCTCTCTCTTTCTCTCTCTCTCTCACTCTCCCCCTCTCTGTAGCTCTGTCTCTCAAATAAATATATCTTTTAAAAAAAAAGAATTACTATGGTGTATTATTAGTGTTTCTTTCCTATTGATTTTTCTTTGTTTTTGTGCTGCGTGAGACATTTTACATTTAGAAAAATTTCTTTTTTATTCTCTTGATTATTCTTTATGCCTTTTTTAAGTGTTTGTAATTGTACTTTTTAAAAAGATTTGTTTAATTTATTTGAAAGAGTTACAGAGGGAAGTAGGGACAAAAATAGAGATAGAGAGAGTGAGATAGAGAGACAGAGAGAGAGAGAGAAAGTCTTCCATCCACGGTTCACTTCCTAAATGGCTGCAATGGCTGGAGCTGAACCATTCCAAAGCCAGGAGCCATGAGTTTCTTCCAGGACTCCCACGTGTATGCAGCGGTACAAGAATTTGGACCACCCTCTGCTGTTTTCCCAGGCACATTAGCTGGTAGCTGGATTTGAAGTGGAGTAGCTGAGACTTGAACTGGCGCCCATATGGTATGCCTGCACTGCAAGCCAGGGCTTTAACCCACTATGCCACTGCACTGGCCCCATAATTGTTCTTTATAAAATAACTTCATTTATCTCCTGAGCATCTCATTTACCAGAGTTTCATGGTGATCTTTCCCTGTCACCTGATTCCTACATACAAGCAATGGGTTTGTTGTGCTCCTTTTGTATTTCCCTTCTTCCATTTATGAACTGCATTTTTACTGTTTGAGAACATATAATTTTCTCCACCTGTTTTAATATGAAATAAAATTAAGTATATTTGTATATTCAAAATAAGTCCTTTGACAAATTTTTTTCAATAATCTCTTGTTTGGATAATAGTCGTTTATTAGTAAAATGCTAAAGAGCCGGCGCTGCGGCTCAATAGGCTAATCCTCTACCTAGCGGCCCCGGCACACTGGGTTCTAGTCCCGGTTGGGGCACCGGATTCTGTCCCGGTTGCCCCTCTTCCAGGCCAGCTCTCTGCTGTGGCCAGGGAGTGCAGTGGAGGATGGCCCAAGTGCTTGGGCCCTGCACCCCATGGGAGACCAGGAAAAGCACCTGGCTCCTGCCTTCGGATCAGCGCGGTGCGCCGGCCGCAGCTCACCAGCCGTGGCGGCCATTGGAGGGTGAACCAACGGCAAAGGAAGACCTTCCTCTTTGTCTCTCTCTCTCACTGTCCACTCTGCCTGTCAAAAAAAAAATGCTAAAGAAAGGCCCAGTTTTATTTATATGTAATTTTTCTCTTGGCTTAATTTTTATTTAAATCTATTCTTCACTGGGTACCTTGTATCTGAACTATTTTAACTTTAGCTTCTTTTTCTTTCCTGAATCAGTCAAATATTGTTTATGTATTTTTAACTCAATTTCTGCCCTAGAAATTGACTTTGAATTCAAAGATTTTGTTTTTATGTCCTCAAATGTTTCCTGGAAGCCACTTAATTTATTTTATTTGGATGTCGCATGGCAGTTTTCTTCTGCTTCAAAGCTTTCTCATTTGGAGGCCAGTATGTTTCAATGCATGTCTTTAATTCTCATATTTAGTATTATAGATAAGAAAACTGTATTTCAATTAGCAATTATAAAAGCTTTCAGTGAAAATAATCTATATTTGCTAGCATATTTTTAGAGGAGCAAAATAGGTTATTATGCTTATTCATATAAATTTCAAAATTACTCCAAATTAAATAATATAAAATTTAATGAATAATTTTATATGTGGTAAAAATATGAAGAACAGGGACCAATGTTGTGGCATAACAGGTCAAGCCTCCTCCTGCAATGCTGGCAGCCCATATGGGAGCCAATTCGAGTCCTGAATGTTCCACTTTGTATCCAGCTCGCTGCTAATGCACCTGGAAAAACAGTAGAAGATGGCCCAAGTGTTTATGCCCCAACACCCCTGTGGGAGACTTGGATGAAGCTCATGGCTTAGCACTGGCCCTTACGGCCATTTGGGGAGTAAACTAATGGATGGAAGATCTCTCTCTCCCTCTGTCTCTAACTCTGACTTTCAAATTAATAAAATAAATCTTTAAAAATAGGAAAAACAAGAAGTGAATAATAAATAAAAAACTGAGCTTAGGAGTGGAATGCAATTTGAGAGAATCACTTGATAGGTAAGGATACAACAATTATGAAACATTTTATATTTTAATTGGGTTCAACTTACAGGGATGTTTGTTTTATTAGGTGTCTGCAATGTAAATATATGTCTTTTTGTGTATCACATTTCATAACATATTAAAAACACTATTTTCAGATGTGGCTCTCTGATTATTTCTTTTTTGTCTCTGCATATTACAGCCAGACTGTAACAGATACTCAGAGTCACTGCATAGCTGTAGGAAGATGTATGTTCCAATCTGTGCATCCAATGATTTCACTTATGGTAATGTCTGTGCATTTTGCAAAGCAATAAGGTAAGAGTACAGTGGTCTACTTTTGCTTATCTAGATATTGTAATAACAGTGCCAGTATACTAGGAACTCCAGTGTTTCTCTTAGTCTGCAACTATGTACACAGTAAATATCTCTTTTATTTTTGTTAAAGCTTTAGGATATACCCTTAAACTTTATCCTGGGACCTCACTTTTAAACATAGATTAGTTCGAGCTATGTATATGATGATGCTGCCTTGTTTTCAAATACTCAGATTAATTAGCCTTACTTTATTTGTTTGTAATTATTAGAAGTGAACAAATGTGCTATAAAGTGGTAAACTCAATCATCTGCCTCCTCATGTCTGGGTCGGTCCCAATACTGAATCAGGATTGAGAAAATAGCCCCACAACAGGACAGAGGACAGAGCAGGTCTGGGGGTGGAGAGCAGGACACAGCTGTTTGAAGAAGGAGAGTCCACGCTCTTTGCTTTATGTCTTATTCAAATAATCATCAAGAAGTATTTTGGACACTATGAAGGAATCTGACATACTACTTTTTTCAATGTTTTCTCTCTCTGCAGACACACTAACAATGGAATTTCTTTCAAACATTATGGCCCATGCTGACTCCTGTGATGCGGTGCTGTTCACTCATAGGACACCTCTTATAATCCTATTATGCTGTTGAATTCTACAGAATCTTCTACAGAATCTTAGTCTCTAGTGCCTTAAAGTTCTAGATTAGTACTTGAATATTGTTTTGGAAACCTGTATGGACTATAAGAACTGGAAAATTCTTGCAATTCCAAAATCCTATAATTTCAAAATTTTAATTATCTGTCAATTTCCAAATAATTTATGAAAATCTGAAAAATCATCAGTTAATGTTGAAAGCCTGAAATTGAGAACTTTTCTGAATCATTAAGTATTTTGATCAATAAACTTGTTACATGGCATTGACTTTATTATTTTCCCCTTTCTCCCTTCCTGTTCCTCACACATCCTTTTGCAATATTACCATATTAAAGTGAGTTTTTCTGTTTGATTGCATAGTGAGGTCACACAAATACACAACATAGGCATTGCTATTTACAGCAGTTTTCCCAAACTTGCCTTTAGTATACATGATCATTATGGATACCTAAGACCACCTAATCTAATCTTGATCTAATGACTCAAGATCTTCAAGAGAAAAGTGTGGTGCCAAAAATTTCAACAAGTCTTCTAGATTAGGCAAAAACAAATGAAATTAACATGGAAAGAAATGCTAAACAGAAGTTGGAAAGAGTTTTACTACAGATTGTTAGGGTACAGGCTAAGCCAATATAAGACACAAAGCATACACATTAAGCAATTTGTAATTTTGTTTCTTTTTCATGTAAAAGTTCTAAAGATGGGTAAACAGTTTAAGCTGGAGGCGATTTTACAGTGCACGAGTTAGATCTTCCATTTTGGGATACCACTAGATGGCAAAAGAAGAAAAAAATGACTTCAATTCTCCATTCTTCCCTATGTTTTTACCCTGTGCAATGCAACTTTGCAGTACTTTCCATCGAGAAAATCTATCTGCTTTTTACTCCTTGAATTATGTTCTGTGGGCAAAAGAATGGGGGCAGAACTGTGGTGTTGTACCAGCTCTAGGCTATAAGTCAAGAAGTCCAGGCCGGCGCCGCGGCTCAATAGGCTAATCCTCCGCCTAGCGGCGCCGGCACACCGGGTTCTAGTCCCGGTCGGGGCGCCGGATTCTGTCCCGGTTGCCCCTCTTCCAGGCCAGCCCTCTGCTGTGGCCAGGGAGTGCAGTGGAGGATGGCCCAGGTGCTTGGGCCCTGCACCCCATGGGAGACCAGGAAAAGCACCTGGTTCCTGGCTCCTGCCATCGGATCAGCGCGGTGCGCCGGCCGCAGCGCGCCGGCCGCGGCAGCCATTGGAGGGTGAACCAACGGCAAAGGAAGACCTTTCTCTCTGTCTCTCTCTCTCACTGTCCGTTCTGCCTGTCACAAAAAAAGAACAAAAAATAGATATTGAAAAAAAAAAAAGTCCTTCTATCTCCACTTTAAACAAGCTTTCAGTAGCCTCCAGGTGTAGAGCTGAGATAGCTGCCTTGCACCTCCAGAAACCTCAGACACTGGAAAGAGCACAGTTCATAAGGAAAATCTGATGTGCATCTGACTGCAAATGCTCGAGGGAGCTCATCCAAGAGCAGAACCACAGAGTTTTCCATGGGCTTTTTCAAATACCCTCGTAACTTTAACTGGCTCACTGTGTCTTGAGGCAAGCAACCATGCCTTATTTTGCTACCATCTTACTGCCAGAATATGAATAGAATACTTAAAATGCATAATACTATATAAATAGTTCTTAGACTATATTGGTTAGGGAATCATGACAATAGTCTGTATATATTCAGTACAGATGCATTTAAAATATACTTTCAATTGTGACTTATTGAGTAAGCATTTGTGGAACCCATGAATATTTCAGAACTTTATCTATGTTCATGTCTTAGAAGAATTGGAATTTTTAAAATATCCATACTATTAAAAGTAATCTAAATATTCAATAAAACAATTAAAATACCAGATGCATTTTTCCAGAATTGGAAAAAATACTAAACTTTATATGGAAACAAAAAGGACTCCAAATACTCAAAATGTTTTCAAAGTGGAACAAAGCTGGAATAATCACACTTTTGATTTGAAAGATATGTCATGGATAAGTTACAAATATATTTTAAACAGTATGATATTGGCATAAAGACAGGAATATAGGAGCATGTAAACCAATCGAACAGAATAGAGAACCCAGAAATACAGCCATTCACATGCTGTTAATTGCTCTTTGACAAGGCACCAAGAATACAAAAATGGAAAAGATAATCTTTTCCTATTAGTGTTAGTATTTGGAAAACTCAATTTCCACGTGTAAAAGAATGAGATTTTAAGTTGCAGAAGTCAACTCAAAATTATTGAAGAATTAAAAGTAAGACCTGAAACTACATTACTCCTAGAAGAAAACACAGAAGATAACATTCTTGATGTTGATCTTGGAAATTATTTCTTTGAAATGACACCAAAGCACAGACAGTGAAAGTACAAGAAGATAAATAGATGACATCAAACTGAAAGGCTTCTTCACAGCAAAGGTCAAAGGAAACAAAGAAAAGTCCATCTACAAGAAGGGAGAAAATATTTGCAAGCTGTTTATTTGATAAGGGACTAATATCCAAAGTATTGTAAGGAACACATAGTATTGTAAGGAACTCAATAGCAAAACTAAACAAGAACAAACAAAATAAAAACCAAGTAATCTGATAAAAAATAATCCAAAGACCTGTAGATCAGTTTGGAGAGCATTGCATCCTAACTACTTTAAGTCTTCTGATGTAAGAAAATGGGATATTTCTTCATTTAATTAGTTTCAGTAATGATTTGTACTATCCTCAGTGTAAGCTTTCAGTTTTACTCAGTTTATACCAAAGTATTTTGTTATGTTTAATTTTTATTTTGGTGTTACAGTAAATGAAATTATTTTATTTCTTTTTCAGATTTCTAATATATTCTGTAGTAATATAATTTATTTCTGTATATTGATCTTGTATCCTGCAGCTTTGAGGAAATCATTTGTTAATTCTAATAGCTTTTTGGTTGAATAGGATTGTCTATATATAAGATCATGTCACTTGCAAATTAAGACAGTTTTACTTTTTCTAGTTTAAATGTCTTTTATTTCATTTTCTTTCCAATCTTGCTTGGCTAAAACCACTAGAACAATGTTTTATAGAAGTGATCCAAGAGCGGACATTTTTGTCTTATTCCTAGTCTTAGATGAAAAACATGTAGTCTTTACCCACTAAGTATGATAACATCTGCGGATTTCCGTAAGTACACTTTATGAGAATGAAAGAATTCACTACTCTTCCTACATTGTTGAATTTTTTTTTTAAATCATAAAACAGTTATGGGCTTTGCCAAATGCTTTTTACTTCATCTACTTGGATGATAATGTGTTTTTGACTTTTTAAAAGATTTTATTTATTTATTTGAGAAAGAGAGAGTTACAGACAGTGAGAAGAAGAGACAGAAAGAAGGGTCTTCCATCAGCTGGTTCACTCCCCAAATGGCCACAATGACCAGAGTTGCTCTGATCTAAAGCCAGGAGCCAGGAGCCTCCTCCGGGTCTCCCCGGTGGGTGCAAGGGCCATCTTCTGGACCATCTTCTGCTGCTTTCCCAGGCCACCACAGAGAGCTGGCTTAGAAGAGCAGCTGGGACTAGAACCAGCACCCATATGGAATGCTGGCGCTGCAGGTGGAAGATTAACCTGCTGGGCCACAGCACCAGCCCCTTGATTTTTTGTTTTACTGATACAATACATGACATGTTGAAACAACTTTGCAACATTGAGCTAAATCCCACTTGGTCATGGTATTTAATTCTTTATGTATTGCTGATTCTCTTTCTTAGTATTTTATTGAGGAATTTTCATCTATATTTGTAAAAGACTTTATCTGTAGTTTTCCTTTTTAAAAATATTTTTCAAACTTTTTTAGAAGGCAGAGCAATGAGGGTGAAGAGAGAGCAAGTAAGAGCCTTCCATCTGCTGGTTCACTCCTTAGATGACCAAAGCCAGGAGCCAGGAACTCCATCCTGGTCTCCCATAGGGGTGGCAGGGGCCCAAATACTTGGCTATCCCCCGCTGCCTTTCCAGCTGCATTAGCAGGGGTAGAGTAGGTCAGACTCCAGCCAGCACTCTGACATGAGATGAAGGCATCACAAACTGTACAACACCACTGCGCCATAATGCTGGCCCCGTCTGTCGTTTTCTTTACTGAGATGTCTTTTTCTGGTTTGATGTTAGGGTACTATTGATCTCATAAAGTGATTTAGCAAATGTTTCTTCATGTTCTGTCTTTAGCAGGAATTTATGAAGTATTGGTGGTAGTTTGCTATTTGGTTGGTAGAATTCTGAGATCTCTAATGTTGGTTTTCAAGGAAACACAACTTTTTAAAAAATATTTATTTTATTATTTATTTGAAAGAGTTAGAGAGAGAAAGAAGTAGAGACCGAGAGAGAGAGAGGTCTTCCATTCTGCTGGTTCACTCCCTAGGTGGCTGCAACAGTTGGAGCTGTGCCGATCTGAAGCCAGAAGCCAGAAGCCAGGAGCTTCTTCCAGGTCTCCCATGTTGGGTGCAGAGGCCCAAGGACTTGGGCCACCTTCAACTGCTTTCCCAGGCCATAGCAAAGAGCTGGATCAGAAGTGGAGCAGCTGGGACACGAACTGGCGCCCAAATGGGATGCTGGCACTGCAGGCTGGGGCTTTAACCCACTGCGCCACAGTGCTGGCCCCAAGGAAACACAACTTTGAGTATGGTTGCAGTCATCTTGAATGGTAGTTGTACAAGTTGGCCTCTCTTCAACTCTTCCTGAACACAGCTATTTGTTTGTTTATTTACAGCAATGTCTTGAGACATAAATCCCTCTATAAATGAATCCATACAAATTGTGTCTTCTTGGGTGAAGGTTTCTGAGGTCATTGTTTGATATTTGGTCTTCCCTCAAGAGAGCTCTTTCAGCTGTCTTACTCCTGAGTCCTCTCCCCCAAACTGTCTGACCTGTAACCTGGGCTGGATCTTCTTAGATAGATGAATTGCCTTTCAATTGCATTCCCAACAATCTCTAATGATTTTGAGAAGTCATTTAGGTTTAAATTCATTTGTTAATTATGCAGGATATATGATTCTTGGTTGACTCGCCCCCTTCTTTCAATACTTGAAATATATCATCATACTGATTTTCATATCTGTATTTTCTGATGAAAAGTTACCTGTTGATTATCTTTTTGTTTCCTTGCATATTATAAGCCATTTTCCTCTTTTTTGTTTATCTCTTTTGGAAATTTTTATTAGTATAAAGAGAACAGATTTCATGTATTTCATAGATAACAATTCTAAGACAACCATACTTCTGTTCCTCCCTTCATCCCTCCCTCAATCCCTCCTCATTCCTTTCTTTTTTCTGCTTTAATTTTTATAATAACATACTTTCAATTTACTATATAATCAGAGGCGTTTCTCTTTTTAAAAATGCCCTCTTTTTATCTTTGACTTTCAAAGTGTGTGTCTGGATTTCATTCTTTTAATTTACTCTAATTGGAGTTAATTTAGTTTCTTAGATATGTGAAATCATGGTTTCTAAATCAACTTTGAAAAATCTTCAGTTATTATTTCAAGATATGGAAACAACTCAAATGCCTATTAACTGAAAAATGGATTTTAAATATAGTACATACTTGCAGGGGAATACTATTCAAGTATATTTTTATAAAGGAAATCCTATCATTTGTGACAAGATAAATGGACCTGAAAGATACTATGCTACTCATGAAAGACAAACCCTGCTTGATTCCACTTATATGAAGTATGTAAATAGTCAAATTTACAGAAGCAGATTATAGAATAGTGTTTACAGGGGATTGTGTGAGGGGAAAATGGAAAGTAGTTCAATGAGTATAAAGTTATACAAGAGGAATAAATTCTAGATATTTGTTATTCAACATAGTGCCTATAGTTACCAATATGGTGTTGTGCACTTAAAAATTTGGTAAAAAAAAATGTACTTCACTAAGTGCCCTTATTAAAACAAAGCAAAACAATTTGCCAAACAAAAAGAAATCCAAATAGTCAAAAGGAAACTTTTGAAGGTGATGGATTTTTTTACCTTAATGGTGGTGATGACATCACCAAAGTCCAAACTCATCATATTGTATTCATTAAGTATATCCATTTTTTGCTTAAAAATAATGAATATGCTCAATAATATGAAAGTTATGAAATAAATATAAAATAAAAACATACATATGATCATTATACCAACGACCAGGACTTAGCTATTGAGAAGTAATTTACAATCTTGATGGAGGGTTGGTGCATCCACAGGCTGCAAAATTTCTCCAGATACTTATAACATAAATTTATTTTTTAAAATTACTAAGAGTACAGACCTTTATTGAATTAAAATTTCCCCATGTTCTTTTTCTTTCTCGATGATCTTATTTGTTTCCAACTCCCCTGCTTGCAAAGAGTTCACATATCTTCCATATCTTAGGATCTGTAACCAGGCTTACTACCATCTCTCCTCCTTGTACTTTTGGGTTCACCAGATCAAATTGTCCCCAAACCTCCTGCTGAGGGGAGATCTATTGAGTATTTATTAGGCACCTCTCATGACCTCTTTTGTAGCCTCCAGGGAGGACACAAAATACTTCTGTCTTATCTACCCTGGACCATCTGTCCTATCTACATCTAGCTCCTCACTCACAGATCAATAAAAGAGACTTAGCTACAGGGTCGTGGATGGTTCAGGAAGAACAGTGAACAGGATAACTACAGTCTCCTGAGATGTTGGCCTCATCTCTCTTCCCTCTATGTGTGAGGTAAGCCAAGTGGGGATCCTTGGGCTGTGGAATTGCTACAAGTCCTGCTATAGATTGGTGCTAAATAGAAATAATTGGTCCTACTTGTTTCCTGAGGAATACATACTTCTGAATGATCATGTTTACTTTAATGGGATCAGGTTGTTTATGGACTTAGCCAAGAATTAGAGTAGTAATAAGCTCCTCACTTTTTCCTGGGTGTTGGTCCTAGTCTTTCTATCATGTCTTCAGGGAGGCATTTTGTTGACATTATGTTATGTTTATTGAATTATAAGGTTGGGGGGAGGAGAGAGGAAACAGGTCAGTGGTGTTAACTGGGAATTTAGAGTGTTGGAGAAAGTTTTTTTCCAAGCAAGAAACTTTCTAAAATCGGGCCCTGTATCCCATTTGCCTGTTAATTGGAAATGAACAATGTTGTTTCTGTGCCGTTGTATCAAACATTCTGAAGAATTTCTTCCACAGACTCAATCAAATGCCTTTATTTTCATTATGGATCAAAGCCATTTTTGTCATCTCGGCCTTGGCTCCTTATTCAGGTGAGTAAAGTTTACAGTTCTAGGTGGAACACATAGATACCCTTAAAACATGTATCCTTGAAAAGCAGGTAAATTTCTAATGTAATTTAGGCATGGAATGATTGTTTTTTCTATTTCTTTAAATTGGCAAAATGGAACAGAATGTGTTCTAAATTCCTATTAAAGATTTCATCAATGGATTGTCTTACTTTCCACATTACAGAAATGAGGGCACAGTGATGGTGTAGAATGAGCAGTTGAATTTCCCTCTTTGTCCATTGCTACACTGAATGACTTTGATTACATATTAATTGTTGTTATTTTGGGGAGATTAGTTTCTATGTTTGTTAAATACAAAAATGCAAGCAAGGAAAGAATCCCTAATAAAATACCTTGAAAATCTGATTTTAAGTTACTTTTACTTACCAACTGTAAATCTTTGCAATCAAGGCCTTATGTAAGTAAGTAACTCATTCATACTTCTGGCAACAAATTATCTTGCTTAAATGTCAAAGAAGTGCATGATTTAAGTATAAAAGAGATAGTATTGAGTACAGCCCTGAAATCAGAAGTTGTTTCATGTTTAAGTAATTTCTTGTTGGCTTTTATCTTCTACCACGATGAGGTGTCTCTTCTATAAAACTTTTAAAAATGGATTTCAAGTATTGGCTGCTACACTTGCAATCCATCTCCTTGCTGATATGCCTGGAAAAGTTCTTGGGCCCCTGTTCCGATGTGGAAAACCCAGAAGAAGCTCCTGGGTCCTGGCTTTGGACCCACCCAGTTTTGGGATTTAGGAGGTGACAGACATTTGAAGAGAGAACCAGTGCATGGAAGATCTCTGTTTCTCATTCCCTCTTTCCCTATCTCTACTCTGCCTTTCAAAAAATAAGGAAATCTTAAAATAAAATAAAATAAAATAAAATAAAGGGGCATCTTCAAGCAGGTTATTAGATGCTATTAAAATAATAAATAACACTGTTTTCACAGAGTTAGATTCATTTGGATTCTTTAAGATTTGGATATATTTGAGAATTCATACTTTTATTATTGGCATAAAATTTTCACATCCTTAGTGACAATTCCTTGAATACGTCTCTTAAATAAATTCCTGCTGCCAATGTATGTGCAGATTTCTTATCTCTTAAAACTATTCTTCGGTTGCAGAAGCTTCCATAAAACCAGATCGTGTGCAGAATTGGGTAAGTTGCTATAGGTTCATTTGGAATTTAAAAATATAAATTTTAAACTTTTTAAATTTTTAAAATCATAGCAAAATCAACCACACAAGTGGATTCATAAGAAAGATAAATACTTCAACAAGTAAAAATATTTATGTATTATTTTTTCACCAGGATCAAGCAACACAGTGAATACAAAATCACTTAGCCCTATGCACACAAGGAAGTGATGTGTTTATGCTATCCAAACTTCTAATCATTTCCATTGTTTGCTATTGTATATAACACTGAAAATATAAAAATATATGTAGAATAGAATGGTGCATCCTAACAAAACAAAAGGAAATAAAGTACCATTCCAATTCTCAATTTTTAGGAGGATAAACTGTAATGATTTTCATATGTTCACATGGTAGAGTATTACATAGAGGTGAAAATAAATGAATTATTGCCCCAAATGTCAATTTATAAGTTCACGAGAATATGTAAAAAAGCATATAATTTAAAAATACATTTAGCATAGTTTTCTTTGTATAAATTGCCAAGATATCCCAAACTACACAAAATGCTGACATGTAATATGTGTGTATATTGATATATAGTGAAATTATAAATTGAGTCGAAGGATCACAAGCTGAGCATTCAGCTTGGTGATTTCCTCTAATGAGGTGGAAGGGGAAGGTCATGGGTAGAGGGGCAGTGTTGACAACATTATGAAAACACACTGATGCAGCGTGGGATCTGCTGATCAGTAGAAAGTTTTTATAAAAATATTGATAATGCTTTTCTTATTTATTGGTTTATGGGAACAAATTTCTTTGTCTTTAAATTTAAATGGAGATTATGTTTATTCATTTTAGTTGTGTGGTATTTCATATTAAGATTTAAGAAAAATGATTCAAATATTTCTTTTCTAATAAACTTTGTGCTGTTTCTCTGTTTTACAGATAGACTGCAATACATTTTCCACGAGTTTTCCAACTATTTGCACAAAAGAGTATCTTCCTATCTGTGGTACTAATGGCCGCACTTATTGCAATAAATGCATTTTCTGCTCTGCATTGAAGTAAGAACGCAAGTGTAAATATTTGCTCTTCCAAAATAGTGAAATATTATAGGAAAATTCATATTCCTGATAACCTAAGCTTAATGTATACTGAAAACAGCCACAATATTTGGGTTAAAATCAAAGTTACACACTACTATATTTCCTTAAAATTATTTCTTTTTTTAATATTTGTATTTATTTTTAAAAGATTTATTTATTTTACTTGAAAGGCAGAGAGAGAGAGAAAGAGAGAAGAGATCAATCTTCCATTCGCTGGTTTACTCCCCAGATGATTGTGTTGTTCAGTGATGGGCCACTTGAGCCATCTTCTGCTGCTGCCCTTCCAGATGCATTAGCAGTGAGCTGGGTTGAAAGTGGAGCACCCAGGATACAAACCAGCACTCTGATATGGGATCCAGCATGGCAGGCAGTGGCTTAACTGCTGTACCAGAAATCCAGCTTAAAATTCTTATTTCTTTTTTAAAGATTTATTTATCTATTTGAAAGTCAGAGTTACAGAGAGAAAGAGAGTACTTCCATCTACTGGTTCACTCCCCAGACGGCTACAGTGGCTAGGTCTGGGCCAAGCCAAAGCCAGGAACATCATCTGGGTCTCTGATGTGGATGGCAGAGGCCCAAACACTTGGACCATCCTCTGCTGCTTTCCCAAGGCCATTAGCAGGAAGCTTAATTGGAACTGGCACAGCTAGGGCATGAAACTGTGCCCATATGGAATAGGAGATGGCTTTACCAGCTGTACCATGATACCAGCCCCTTAAAATTTTTCTTTCTTTCCTTTTTATTTTTTAAAGATTTTTTTTATTTGGAAGACAGAGCTACAGAGAGAGCAGGAGAGCAAGAAATCTCACATCTGATGCTTCATTCCCCCAAAAAGCCGTAACAGCTGGAGTGGGCCAGGCCAAAGCCAGGAGCTTCATCTGGGTCTCCCATGTAGATGGCAGGACCCCAAGTACTTGGGCCATCTTCTGCTGCTTTCCTAAGCACATTATCAAAGAGCTGGAATGGAAGTGTAGCAGCCAGGACCCGAACTGGTGCCCATATGGGATGCTGGCATCTTATGCGACGACAATATCTGGTTTGCTACAATGCTGGCCTCAAAATTCTTATTTCTAACAGTGTATTTGGGACAGGTGCTTGGTGCAGCAGTTTAGATGCCACTTGAGACACCTGCATCCCATAACGGAGTGCCTGGGTCTGAGTCCCAGCTCTGCTTCTGCTTCCAGATTCCTGCCAGTGCACACAACGAGAGGCAGCAAATGGTGGTTCAAGTACTGAAGTCTTTGCCACTCATGTGGGACATTCTCATTTTGACCTGTCCCAGCTCAGGCTGTTGCAAGCATTTGTCTCTCTGTTTTTTTTTTGTTTTTTTTTGTTTGTTTGTTTGTTTGTTTTTTGTTTTTTTTTTTGACAGGCAGAGTTAGAGAGTGAGAGAGGGAGAGACAGAGAGAAAGGTCTTCCTTCCGTTGGTTCACCCTCCAAATGGCCATATGGCCGGCACGCTGCGCTGATCCGAAGCCAGGAGCCAGGTGCTTCCTCCTGCTCTCCCATGCGGGTGCAGGGCCCAGGCACTTGGGCCATCCTCCACTGCCTTCCCAGGCCACAGCAGAGAGCTGGACTGGAAGAGGAGAAACCAGGACAGAATCCGGCGCCCCAACTGGGACTAGAACCCAGGATGCCAGCGCCGCAGGCAAAGGATTAGCCTAGTGAGCCACGGCATCGGCCTTTTTTTTGTTTTGTTTTGTTTTTTTTAAGATTTATTGATTTGAAGTCAGAGTTACACAGAGAGAGGAGAGGCAGAGAGAGAGAGAGGTCTTCCATCTGGTGGTTCACTCCCCAATTGGCTGCAATTGCTGGAGCTGCACCCATCTGAAGCCAGGAACCAGGAATCTCTTCCAGGTCTCCCACGCAGGTGCAGAGGCCCAAGGACTTGGACCATCTTCCACTGCTATCTCAGGCCATAGCAGAGAGCTGGATCGGAAGGGGAGCAGCCGGCACTAGAACCGGCACCCATATGGGATTGCAGCGCTTCAGGCCAGGGTGTTAACCTGCTGTGCCACAGCGCCAGCCCCTCTGCCTTTCAAATAAAAATGAAAATAAATAAATAAAAATTTAAAAGTACTATTTGAATTATCAATATAATCATACTGATGTTCCACAATGCATAAACCAATTAGTTAACTGAATTCAATTAACTGTAATTACTAGTGGCAGCTTGGTAGCCAGTGTGATGTATTTCCATAACCATGATGCTGGGTGCCATAAGAATCAGCCTTGCAAAATCCAGCTATAATGAGCATAAATGAGCAAGAACCAGACTGCACTGTTCTCTGCATTCTGAAATCCCATACAATGGGCCCCTTCCTGTTAGCAGGAACTCGTGATTGTAAGCTCCTGGAACTGATGGCGTGAAGACTTCCTCAGAGTGCAGGACAGCTCCGTCCGCGCTCCCTTCCCTTCGTCCTTCACCCGGAAGTAGTTTGTGGTCAGACGCTTAGCCGACCTTCTCTACCTTACTACCCACTTTTTTTACTCAGGTGTTCCCTTTTATAAAGTACTTGCCCATTTACTACTTAAAATTGTCTGTCTCTTGGAGGACCTGTGGTAAAAACCCCTAATTAGTCTTCTTCCTTAGGCCTGGTCTGATATTGAGATACAGTTAAGCACGCAGGAAGGTTCATGTGCCTCACAGCAGAGAAAGGATGTGGGGTGGAGGAGAGGGTGGCACCCGGCCGCTGTGGAAGTGGAGTGCAGCTTCTCCCTCGTGTCCTGAGTTCAGACACTTCTCATTTAGAAGCACTGTGTGCATCACCCAGGCCATTTACTGTGTTCTTTTATTTATCTATTTTTTTCTTTCTGATTCTTTCTACAGAAAAAGTGGTGGCAAATTTAGTGTTGCTCATTACGGTAGATGCTGACGTTTAGATGGAACTGCAAATCCCTATGGTTTTTATTTTGATAATATTTTCTGGCGGATTTTATAGATTAAATAGAGTTTTAAAATCAGGGTCTTCCATTTGTAGAAGACTAGGTGAACCCTCCTGAGTGACACAAGATGGAATCCTGGACGATCTGTTCTTCCCAGCTCAAGATTCCACAATTCAGCCATGTTTATTCTCTGTGCTCAATAATTCAACGCTGAAAAATTAATATCCTAATTTTATGTTTGATATTATAAAGTGTAATTTAAATTCCTCGATATTTTGCTCAATAAAATGTTAAATGGTGTTATTACATTTATTAAGATGTCTTTTTTAATTCGAATGCTAAATAAGACTCTGGGATCTAGAACATGTCTATAATTGAATGAATTAAAGGCCATATAGAAATATAATGTAAAGTTTATTGGGAAATTTTATGTTATTTACATATACATATATATTTATTGGGAAAAATGTATCACTTCTTTTTGTTTCTTGATGACAAATCAGTTGAATGGCTGATGCGTGGTCCTGGAATGATAAGCAGAAATGATTTCATTGACATAGGACGTGATTGGGTTCAAATCAGATCTTTCTCCATCTTCCAGCCACAAGAAGCACACTTTCGCTGTATTTCCAAAAGCTAATTTAAAATTTTAATTTAAAAAGTATTTTATTTTCATCTTAGAGAGAGAGAAACTGATTCACTCCCCAAAAGGCTATAACAGTCAGGGCTGGTCCAGGCTGTAGCCAAGAGCCAAGAACTCAGTCAAGATCTTCCGTTTAGGTGGCAGGAACCCGAATGCTTGAATCATCATCTGTTTGCACTCATGGTGCATATTAGTAGGAAGCTGGATCAGAAGCAGTAGAGTTAGGCCTCAAACAAGGCACTCCAAGATGGCACCATTGTATTGGATATGCAGTGATGGGAAACTGACTGAGGGTTTTTTAAGATTATTTAAAATATGGGTGAAATACTGAAACTCTTTTCATAAAAGACAATATCCTGTAATGTTGTGGTCTTGTGTATACTGAATCTGACTGGAAACTTTTGAGCTTCCTGCATTTGGAGATTTATTTCTTTCCTCTGATTTGGGAAGCTTTCAACAATTATTGCTCCATACATTAATCTGAATTCACCATTTTTTTCTCTGATGTACTTTTTTTATTTTGGGATCCAACTCAAGAAACCACAAATTTAAACTTTTAATTGGTTGGTTTTTTTTTCTTTTTCTTGATTGTAGAAATGTAATATTTATGTTTGTATATGCACATAAAATAATAAATATACATATACACAATATTAAAACATACTCACATACACATATTCCAGAACTGAGTCTTTTTTGATTATTTATGGTTGGATCTTTTTGAATTCTAGTTCTTTTATCTACTTTTAAATAATAACTTAGTGAGTAGAATTTCTAATAATGGGATCCTGTGTATCATTTATTTTTCTCTATGGCTCTTCCTTCTTTTTCTTTCTGTTTAAGAACCTGTCACCAACTCTCAGGTAATGAATGTATTCGCTATTTTTTCTAGAAAATTATTCATCTTAGTTTAATACTTAGGTGTGCAGTTTACCTCAAATTATATTTTGGTTTTTATTCTAGTAGGTGTCAATAGTTTTTTAGCTAGTAGATGTCAGTATTTTAAAGTATTATTTTTCTGTAGATATGTAATTTTCTCAGAATTGTTGTTAGGGTGATTGGCCCCACATTTTTTCTTCATCAAAAGAAGGGATTCAAGGCTGTGATATAGATAAAGTCAATAGATAAGCAAGATTTATTTACATGCAAAGCGAAAGTACACATGCAGGAATGAGTCCAGACAAGCTCAAGGAAGGACTGCATTCAGTAAGATTCAGGGCTGCCCCTTTATATGAGCTGAAGGCACGGGGTGGTGTCAGGGATGGGGATGCACTGAGTACGCAGACAGCAGAACTCTGTGTGGGGTTTCAGTGCTGTCCATTTCCCTGCCTTTTTCTGAAAATCCTAGAAATGGTAAGGCATCAGGTGCATGATGGGGCTGTGACTCTTGACCGTGGTCATCTTATATAATGATAAAATGAAGTAAAGGTCCTCGTAGGGATGCAGTCTGCAACCATATGGAATATCTTTAGCTGGCACCGATTCTAAGCAGCAAAACTCCAGGCGTTGTAGATTTCCACCAGACAGACTGGAGGAGGTTTGTTGGCACAGAGGAGGAGGAGGCTTGGGCAGTGCAGGGAAGGAGGTTGTGGGTGGTGCAGCAGGCAGTGCAGGCAGGTTTGCAGTGGGCAGAGCTGCAAAGCAGTGCTGGCAGACCTCCGCTCCTCCTTGCTAGCTGCTTCTTTGCCTGCATCAGTACCATTCATTGAAAAAAAAAAAAAAAAAAAAAACCTCTCCTATAAACTGACTGTGTATATGTGGGCTTATTCTTGGTCTATTTCTATTTTTATCACCATTACTGTATTTTTTGATTATGAAGACTTCCATGAATTTCACATCCAGTAGTATAGGTACTAAGAAGATCTTAACATTTTACTCTTCTCATTTAGCTCACCACTTACGTCTTCATTCTGCAGAGTTACATAGGCAAATGTTTTTACCCCCCTGTAAAAGTCATACATACCCAGTTGGTGAGGGACATTTTAATAAGCCTTATCTGTTTAGAAATCTCCCCAAAAGAAGTGGTAACCTATCTCTACACTCATGTGCTCCCTGAAAGTGATATTATTGTTTGTCTATTTATTGCTCACCTGCTTGCATAAGAATGGGTTTGGATTTCACCCTCAACCTCCAGATACACTGTTGTACTCAGGCCTGTCCCCACCCAACTCAACTCCCTCATTGGAACATGTCACCGAGTAACTTCATCCTCTTCTGTGAGAAGACACCTTAGAATATCTCGGACTACTTTGAAAGGATAGTAAATGTATTTATTTAGAATTCTATTTCAATAATATGCGGTGTCCAGAAAACATTACCGTATTCAGTAAGCTGGAGGAGAACCTGGTCCATATCACAACTGCTGTTTCACAAGCCTGAACTAGACCCTGACGGCCGTCCGTGTTACCCTGTGGGATTCTTTGCCCAGTACAGGGGAAGTTGCCTTGGACAGTTGGAGAATATTCTTTTTTTTTTTTTTTTTTTTTTTTTTTTTCTCGACAGGCAGAGTGGACAGTGAGAGAGAGAGACAGAGAGAAAGGTCTTCCTTTTGCCGTTGGTTCACCCTCCAATGGCCGCTGCGGCCGGCGCATGACCCGATGGCAGGAGCCAGGTACTTCTCCTGTCTCCCATGGGGTGCAGGGCCCAAGCACTTGGGCCATCCTCCACTGCACTCCCTGGCCATAGCATAGAGCTGGCCTGGAAGAGGGGCAACCGGGACAGAATCCGGCACCCCGACCGGGACTAGAACCCGGTGTGCCAACACTGCAAGGCGGAGGATTAGCCTAGTGAGCCGCGGCGCCGGCCCGGAGAATATTCTTCTCCCCATCAACTCGTTCTGTCCTGCTTTATTTTGACATCTCTTTCATATTTTTCTTTTTTTAAGATTTATTTATTTATTTGAAATGTGGAGTTACAGAGAGGGGGAGGCAGAGGCTGAGAGAAAGAAGTCTTCCATCTGCTGGTTCACTCCTCAAATGGCCACAGTGGCCAGGGCTGGGCCAGAGTGAAGCCTGGAGACAAGAACTTCTTCTGGGTCTCCAACATGGGTGTAAAGTCCCAAGGACTTGGGGCATCTTCTGCTACTTTTCCAGGTAGGTTAGTTAGCAGGAAGCTGGATCAGAAGTGGAGCAGCCGAGACACGAACTGGTGCCCTTATGGGATGCCAGCGTCACAGGCAGCGACTTAATCCACTACGTCAAGCGCTGACCTCAGCCTCTTTCATCTTGAAGACATTGTCTTCTCTACCTCTGGAGCAGATTACATTTTCTTTGTGAAGCTATATTAGATACCCACACACCTAACATTCTTTTCACTGATTTGTCTCAAAACCATGTGGCCTGTTGTGTGACGTGGTTGTTTATCCTGCTTGTGATCTCTGTGAATGAATGGAAACAATGAACAGCCAATGTGTAGACCATAAGAACATTACAATACCTTCACAATAGCTTCAAATCCAGACTTCAGTTCCATTTTGCTTCAACTAATTTATTTAGATTGGCATGGAACAGTGCTAGAACCAAAGGTTCTTTCCTACATTTTAACTTTATTTACCACACAAAAAAAAGGGCAGGTTAGATTATGGTGATTTGTATCTCTAATATTTATGACAAATCTATGAGATAGAAATTATTCTGTCCTGTCCTTGGGATAGAACTGGACATGGGTAAAAGGTCTTCAGCTGGTATCCATCCCTGGCTGTATACTTATAATATAGCTTTACAAGATGTTCCCATTTGGGGAACTGTTTAATGGCATCACAAGAACACGCTGCGTTAGCATTTAAAATTTTATGTGCGTCTACATTTACCTTAAATAAGAGATCCAGTAAGAATCAAATATCCATTCAATCTGATGTATTTCCAGTGTTACAGAACAGGCATTTGTCTATGTAGAATTTCCTAAAAGGCTTTCTTATTTTTCTTGCTTTTGTTCTCTTGGGCATTTCTGCCTGGGAGCTTAGAAAGCTTTTACTCTTTTTCTATGATGGGATCTCTGAGTACTGTTAGCACCTCTCCATTCTCACCCCATGTTTTTGAATGCATCAGATCTACTTGTCCCGAACCTCTTGCTGGGGGAAGATCTGTTGAGTACTATATGAAGGAATTCTCGTACGCTATTTTGTGACCTCCAGGGAGGACACAGAATATCTCTGTGTCCCATCTGCCCTTGGGCAGCTCTTTTATCTCCACGCAGCTCTGCACTGACAAATCAGTAATGGAGACTCCTCAGCTGAATACACGTGACTGAGAAGTGCAGGTGAACAAAATAGAGACCGCGTCTGCAGCTGGTGTCTGCACTCTGCGTTGCCCTCTCTCCTTCAGGTAGGCCAGGTGGGAGATCTAGACGATGCCCGGCCGTCTCACGATGCTGTGCTGAGGACCACTCCAGTCCTTTCTTTTCTCCTGTTTTTACTTCCTGAGCAAAAACTGAGGTTCCGTTGAGAATATTTCCTTAAACGCAGGCAGACTATTTGTGGGCTGACTCGGAGGGTTGGGGGAGTAAACCGTTCCTTTTTAGATGTTCAAAGACTTACCCTGGGCTTTCTCTCAAGTTTCTAGGAGGCCCTATGTTCATATAATATGCTTTATTGATCATGAGGGTTGGGGGAAGAACACAGGCAGGTAATAGAGAGGTAGAACATGAACAGTTCCTTTAACCGTAAGAGACTTTCATTTGGACATGGACAATTTGTTCTGTGCTATAAACATTCCTAAAGGTTTCTTCCACAGAGTTGATAAAATGCCTTTCTTCTCGTCATGGATCAAAGCAGTTTTCATCATTGCCTTGACATTTCCTTTTCATTCTGGTGAGTAAATTTTCCAGCCCTGGTTGAAGCATTTTACATGTAGAAAGTGCTGCAAACAACTGCTGTAATTCAGAACTGACCAAGCTTGTTTTATGGGGTTTGCAAACTGTAAACTGGTGAAATAAAACAGGGCATGTTTCAAATGCCTTTTTAAAACTGCACCTGTGAATTACCTTTTACTCATTCCCTACCTTAGAGATAAAGAAGTACTGCGAATGGGCAGCAGACCTTAGAGTTTTATCCATCTGTGATGAAAGATATTTATTTACCTTTTCTCTCTCTTAAGGTTAAATTTGATGGTGGTTGAATGCCAAGTGAGGAGAGTAGTGGCACCTTTACACCTGGCATGTCTTGGCAGCCTAATTTGTACTTGAGTCTTCTAGGTCAAGGTCTTGTGTAAGATGAGGACTCATAGATCTGTCTGCTGACAAGTTCTCTTTCTTAAAGTTCATCTTGACTCATGTAATTTCAGAATAAAGTAACAGAGGAGTTGGATATATCCTTCGTATTTTAATTGAGTGCCAATTAATTAAATACTAATTAATTTCTACATATTAGTTCACAGGGCATACTATGGGACTTTCTGCAAGGTATTATCTTCTTTGAGTAGGCAATCTCATCTATTAAAATGGGAAGAGAAAGCCACTATAGCATCTTCAAAGGAGAGTTTGGTGGATTATTAAATAATACATAAAATTATTTTTCATAAGTGATATTAATTTTTTAGCTATAGAATATTTCCAGATTTGAAGTCATTTTGTATATTTAGTATTTTAGTACTAGCAAAAAAGGCTCATCCCATTACTTGCAAGGCCTTAGTGTAAGTAAGCAATTCTCATAAGTTTCTGCTACTAAGAAATGTGGGAACTTCCCAACATAGAATATGCTTTTGTCCACATTTTCTTCTTCTTTTTAATTATTCTTTTTTTGTTGGTTACAGAAACTGCTTTTGCACCTTTACCAGTCATTCGCAAACCAGTAAGTTAATGCTGATTAATTTGGAAGTTGGAAAAGGTCAATTTTAATAACAAACTTCAACACAAAAAATGTGTAACCAAATAATCCTTCTAAACAAATGAAAAAATAAAAATAAAAACAATTGAAAACCTGTAATTATATTAAGGTCAATAGATTGAATCTTTCTAGCTATATGAAACTGATTGGCATTAAAGAGAAGATAAAACTATACCATTATTTAAAAATTCCATAATGGACATAAGTTTTATTGTTCACAACATCTAATATGTGCTAAAGGGTGTTTAAGTAGAATCATTTGCCTTAGGAATAAAAAAGCCAATAGCCCAATTATATACTTCAAGATAGATAAAATGGTACTTTTCATATATTCATGTATTGGAATATTAAATAGAACTAAAGACAATGAACTATATTTCTAAGCATCTATATAGATAAAGGTCAAAGAAGTGTAGAAAGTAAATCATGTAAGAATACACACAACTTATATATGTAAATGATCAATATGGCCAACACTAAACAAATTACATATAAAGTATAGGTATATTTGGTGGTACATATATATTTACAAACACATAAATGCATACATGTGAATATGGTGGTACTATTGGGGAAGACAAAAAGATGCTCTGTTTTATGATTTCTTATTGTATGAAATAATGGGTAACATTTGACCTGAGAAGGGAGAACAAGGCAGCTAAGTTATAAAATATACATTCAGCAGCCTGTATTGATTTTTAAATGCATATTGGGTTTATAAACTCAATACAGTAGTATTTCATGTTTAGTTGAGTCATGGGCACCTCAGTTTTATTATTAAACTTTGAAATAGGCCATAATGATTCCATTTTAATATATGAAATTTTATATGAAGAATAAAGAAAGATTTTATTAAAAACTTCATCATCTGACAAATTCTATGTTGTCTCTGTGTTCAATAGCCAAACTGCGATTTATATTCAAACTATATCTGCACCAAAGAACTTGATCCAATCTGTGCAACCAATGGCAAGACTTACAGCAATAGATGCATGTTCTGCAGTGAAAAGCGGTAAGAATACAGAATAAATATTTACTCTCCCAAAGTAATAAGGAAACCATCACAAAATGATAGTAAAAACCATGGTTTTGATGACCTGGGAGCAACATATACCAAAAAATGATTACATTGTCTTTATATTCATAGAAGCCACAGGAACAAGCTTGTACCTCTCCCTGAAATTTTTGCTTCTAAAAGCAGTTTTGTTTAAAGAAAAAAAAGTTAAAAAGTGTTGTATTTGGCCTCTAATTATATGTCTTTTAGGTATTCTGCAAATATATAAATCCATTAATTTAACTTAGCTTGATTATTGTGAATTACTAATGCTAGACTGGTGACTATAGAACTCTGAAATCCATTGCAATGGGCCACTGATACTAGGAAGGACTCCTCTGATGAGCCACATTGCCTTCCAAACGGGATGACACCCTTCATACCTTAAAGTACAGGACGCTCCACCCACCCCCCTTCATGTCTCCTTCTCTCTGAAGGAGTTCGCACCTGAAGGTTCAGCCAGCGTTCTCCCCACCACAACGTGTCTTTCACAGGTGTCTCCTCCTCTCAAATCCTTTCCTATTTAATCCCCAAACTGGCTTCTGCCCCTAGAGATGCACTAAAACACACTCTAATCCTTTCTCTTTCCACATTTGGGCAAGTCTCAGATCAGGTCAGAACTGAGCTTGTGGGAAGAGTCCAGTTGCCCCAGATGGAGAAGAGGCTTTGTGCAAGGCTGGGGAATAGGTGGGACCCAGCTGCTTGAGAAGTGGAGCACAGGCTCTCTGCTGTCCCTTGTTCAAATCCTCATTGAGAAGCACTTTATGCGATGCTCAGTAAATTTAAAATGTTCTTTCAGTTATTTACTTTTTCTTCTCTTTGTGCTCTTCATCTACAGACAAAGTAAAGATGCGTTTGTATTTTTGCATTATGGTGAATGCTGAATTTTGCCTGACCGACACATTCCGGTGGCTTCATTGTAACCCTTTTTGTGGTGGCTCCTGCAATCAACTAGACTCTCCTTAATTAGGGTCTCATTCCTGGTTGATCAAGTGAAGACTTCTACGGTACATAGGATGTACATAGGATGTCAAAGAACCTTTCCAACACTAATAGCCTGTAACTAAAGGAACTTTATTCTCTGTGTCCAATTTTTCACTGATAACTTAAAAAAAGCTATTATAATAATTTTGAGTTTGTTAATATAAAATCTACCACAATTTATAATCATAAATATTTCACTCAATAAAATGTTAAATTTTTTTATCTTTGTTAAAATATTCATACTATCTTTGGTTAGTAATGGGTTAAAATAGTTTTCATAACTATAATTAAAGAAACATATTCAGAGGTGAATACACAATACATTACTTGAGTGTTTGGTGGGAGTACAGACTCCTGGGCTCCTCTTTAGCCTGAAGCACCAGAATCTGTAGGAGAACATTCTGGAAGTTCCACATGAGCTATTCTTCTTGATCTCTCTAACTGCACCTTGCCTCATGTGCCCATTTACTTTGTGTTTTGGAATTATCTTGAAATTATTTATTTCCTTGCAATGCTTCTTGCAACATTGAACTCTTGAACTGGCTATTCTGTTTCACGAAAGACTTTTTAAACTTTCTAGTATTCTGCTCATAGGTTCATCTCTGATCATCCTAATGAGGACATATTGTCTCAGTTGTAAACTTGCATGCCCTGAGACACTATGACATTTCTTGACACAGTTTTTTTCTGTAGAGAGATAGTTTGGCACATTTCTTATTCACCTCTCAACTACATTCCCCACAAGCAGCTGGGATGGGGCACTGTGATAAACTCTCTGTACGCAGAATCTCCTAGAAAAATGGGCTTCCACTCTTGTACTCAGGTTCTATCTACCAGTTTATCTTTCCCTATTTAACATCCAACTCCCTATCCCATGAAAATGGGTCTGGGCATTAGACTCTAATCTCAAGACACACTGTGGTACTCAGAAGTATACCCAAACCAGTCAATCCATTGTGTCTCCCGGTAATAAACATCATCAAGTCACTTTGGCCTCTTCGAGTCAGAAACAAATTTAAAATATCTAGTGTCTTTTGAAAGTATCATAATTGTATTTTCAAGAATATGGGTTCTCCAAACAACAACAGTAGCAAGGGAAAAAAATCAACACAAAACCTTGCACTTCTCAGTATAACGCAGTAGAGGACCTAGTATGAAGCTCAGCTGATGTTTATGTTTGCTTAGGTCAGATCCAGGAAGTTTATCCCATTATTGCCTGAGTGGTGAATTGATTTAGCCCACAATTCATGAGAAAGTGACACTGAGATTAGTCTCTATTTTTTCTGTCTCTTTAAGATCTCTGTCATCTAAAGTCATAATCTTCTCCTTACTCATTCTCTTACACAAACTAATACATTCATTTTTTCTTACAAAACCGTATAAAATAATTTACATACCTAACATTTCCTATACTAGTTGATTCCTAGGCTGCTTGGGGAGTCACAGGCAATCTGTTTTACTCTTGATGTCTACTGATGCACACATAAAGAGAAATCCACTGCATGGACTATAAAGAGCTTCCCAGCAACTTCACCTCAGCTTCAGCTGAATTTAGTTTATTTCTCTATCATGAGTTTCTTTCGTGATGAGTTTATTCCTGGAAACATCAGGTAGGGTTAAGGTGACAGTGCCCTGTAGTCAACAACCTAAGTCCAGACAGTTTAAATATTTATTACTGACACTACTTTAAATATATACCACAAATATATATGACTTTCTCTTTCTCTCTCTCTCTCTCTCTCTTTCTGCTGTTCCAAATGTTTCCAGCATGTGTGTCAGAAGAATTTCCTCAAACCTTACTGCACATGGGATTGTTCTGGGAGCTTCTAAAGCTTGCCAATGCCCAGTCCTTGTCAACTAGTGGTGGATTTACAATTTTGACTGCAGAATGATGCATTCATACTGTTTAAAATTTCCCCCTAAAATTAAAATTAAAACAAATCAAAAAAGAAAAACAAAAGAAGAAATGTCTATGTGTATCAGTTTTGCTGCAAATAGTGTTTTGTCAAACTTTGTTTTAAATCTTTGCAAATTGCTAAGAATTATGCATTTTTATATTTTAATGATACTGTGACTTTTAAAATTTACTTTATGTGAATGAAGCCAAATGTCTTTTCATTTGATTATTGTTCATAGGTCTGGCCTATTTTCTTGCTGAATATGATCTTTTTAATTTTTATTTGTTGAAATCTTTGAGTGGAGTATTAAGCATTTGACTATATTGTAAATTAAAAGTATTTTTGTTTAAAAAAGCAAGTAAAATATTAAACTGAAAGAAAAGAAAGTTCTCCATGATTCCAGTATGCATATAGTTTTAAATAATATTACTGACAGGTTCATGTCAGTAATATTTCTTTTTCCTACTTCATTTTGTTTTCTGTTTTGAACTCACGTGATTGGAAAGTTTTCTTCTGTATCTTAGAATCTATATTTCTTCTGTATCTTAGAATCTGTAACTACTTCTGTTATCTTCTCTCTTTCTCATATTTTTGACTTCATAAGAACAAATTGTCCCCAAGCATCCTGTTGAGAACTCCCTTGAGAAGTGTTTGTGAGACACCTCTCACCACCTGCTTTGTAGCCTCTAGGGAGGACATAGCATACTTCTGTGTCTTATCTGCCCTGAACCATCTGTCCTACCCCCATCCAGCTCCTCATTCACAGATCAATAAAAGAGACTTAGCTGGAAGGCCATGGCTGGGCAGGACAGCCAGTCTCCAGAGCGGCTGGCCGTGAGCCCCCTTATCTCTGTGAGGTAGGTGTGATGGGGCATCTAGAGCGATAGTGTTCTTGTGCAGTACTGCTGTGAGGACTGCTCCAGATCCATCGTCCCAGCCGAGATCATTCCTATCTTCCGAGAAAAATACAGACTCAAATGCACAGTTTTGTTTTGTTTTGTTTTGTTTTGTTTTGTTTTGTTTTGTTTTAATGCGACCAGTCTCCTTCCAGGCAGACTAAAAAGTTCAGAGAGCAGTCAGATCCTTCCATTTTGTTAACAGTTTCCTGGGCTTTCCTTGACCTCTCTTAGATGGGCTTCTGAAATGACATTTTAAGCCTTGTTGAAGCACAGGTTTGGGGAACAGTGGAAGAGGATGATTCGCCCCAAGAAGGAACCTAGGGGGTTGGAGCCATTTCCTTAAATAAGAAACTTTCTAAAATGGAGCCCTGGATTCATTTTGTTTACTCTGTTTGGCAGGTAACATTGTTACAAACTCCTAAAGCTTTCTTCCACAGACTTGATAAAATGTCCCTCTTCTCATCAAAGATCAAAGTCATTTTCACCATTATCTTCACATTTCCTCTTTACTCTGGTGAGTAAAATTCCAGTCCATTCTAGTTTAAGTGAAATGCTTCCCTAGAAAATTCAGGAAATAACTCTGTAATTTAGGAATGGAGGATGTTGTTTGTAATCCTTAAACTGATAAGGTGATACAGGGCATACCTTCTTACAGTCACATCAGTGGATTACTTTTCCTTGTTTCCTGCATTAGATAAGTTGAAATAGAGTCATGAGTTAGAATGGGCAGCAGGCTTTAGATCTTGTTTGTCAGTAACTCAAGGGCTTTAAATTGCATTTTTTAAAGATTTACTTATTTATTTGAAAGGCAGAGAAAGAGAGAGAGAGTCTTCCATCCACTGGTTCACTCCCCAATGCCACAATGGCCAGGGCTGCACCAATCCAAAGCTAGGAGCCAGGAGCTTCTTCAGGTTCTCCCACCCGGGTGCATGGGCCCAGGGACTTGGGCTGTCTTCTACTGCTTTCCCAGGCCATAGCAGAGAGCTGGATCGGAAACAGAGCAGCCGCGACTTGAACCAGCGCCCATATGGGATGCCAGCACTTCCCTGCTATGCCACAGTGCCAGCCCCTAAATTACATTTTCTTTAAGGAACTCAAATGCCATTGTTGTTGACTGCAAGGTGCAAGGAGGAATGCTATCTTCTAAATCTGCCAGTGCTTGCTCATCACATTTACTATTTGCCAGCTCTGAGTCATTCAAGTCAATGAATGGTATAAGGAGAGAACTCTCTGACAAATATGTTGGGGGAAATGTGTCTTCCCTAAAGCTCAGTGTTGTCTGTGAATTTTTTCATAAGATAATTGTGAAATATTAGCTAGAATCTGAAAATGAGGGGAGAGTATTGATTAATTTTTCCTATTGAAGTGAATGCATGCACAACACTGTTTAAAGTAGTTGGAAATTCTGTTACAGATATGGGCACTTCTCACCAGAGAGATGCTTTTGTAATGTACTGTCTTTGTCATCTCTGCTTTGCTTTCAGAAACGCTTTATTTAAAATCAGCAATGTACAGGTATCCGGTAAGTTATTACTGATCGATTTGGAATGTAGAAAAGGTAAAATTTTAACTTAATCTTTTTATTTATATAAGGTGAACAAATTTCATGTGTTTTATATGTACAGATTTAACTGGATGAGATTTAGCAGATTTAGAAACATAGTGATACTTCCTGTCTTACCCTCCCTCCTGCCCACATTCCACTCTCCCTTCTCCTTCATTTTGTATCACTTTTAATTTTTACAATGACATACTTTTAGTTTCAATGCAAAATTTACCAAGAAAAATGTATTATAGAATGAGTCTGCAAAATTAAAAATATGTATTTTATTATGCCAGTTTTAAGAAATAGAATGTCATTAAATGTTTGTCATTAAATATCTCTACACATTATGTTTATCTCACTTTGGATTATGACATTACATATTAAGAATGGAGACTGTTTCTACCCCAATGGTCGTTGTCTGACGCACTCTTGTTGTCCTCTGTGTCTTTTGCAGACAATCTGTAATCTGTATACTCACACTCGCAAGTTTTGCACCACAGAATATCTTCCAGTCTGTGCAACTAATGGCCACACTTACTGCAACAAATGCTTGTTCTGCCTTGCATACAAGTAAGGACACACTAGTACATATGTGCTCTCTCTAAGTGACTGGTAACAAAATCTTAGTAAATCCATGTTACTGTAATCTAGAATACACAGACAAGAAAACTAATGATGCTGTAAAAGATAAAGAAACCCATTTGTCCCTTTCCTTGAAATTCTCACTTCTGAAAGTTGAGCTCTCAGAACATAACTATGGTGGGTGTTCCACATACATGTGAGTCAGCTGATAGAACTTATTGTGAATTACTATGGCAGACTAGCAACCAATATGACATAATTTCAAAGTCCTGATGCTAAAGAGATCTCTGCTATACTCTGAAATCTATCTAGTTGAGCCATTTGTGCTGGGAAGAATTCTTCTGATGTTCACTTTTATTTCTTGAACTCCACGCTGCCTTCCAAATTTTCCTGGAGTGACAGGGATATTCTTGGACATGTCCACTCCAGATCACTGACCTGTCTGCTCCTTGAGGAGTTTGTGGTCTGATGGCTCTGCAAAGCGCTCCTGTATTGGTTCCATTTTTCTTCTCATGGCTGTTCTCTGTCAGAAAGTCTTTGCACCTATTGCCATCTATGTCTCAAAAGCCACTAACACAATTCTTAGCTCCTTGCTCAGAGTGGACATGTTCCAAGCCTGGGGCAAAGCTGCCAGAATAGGAAGGGTCAGGTGTGCCCCTAGTGGAGACACAGGAGGCCTGGGAGCGGGGGTGGGGGCTTGTGGAGGTGGGGCGCAGCCTCTTCACTGTGTCCCATGGTGTACTTTTCAAGATGTTTCCTGTGCCCTTTCAATCACTTCTTTTCCTTTCTCTCTGTCTCTTTCTCTACAGGGAAAGTGGCGGCAAATTTAATTTGGCTCGTTACGGTGAATGCTGACTTTTTGCTGGAACTACACATTGCTGTGGATTTTACTATGACCCCCTGTTAGAAGCGGATTCTACAGTTAACTCGAGCTTTTGCAATCAGGGTCTTATGTTCCTAACAGATCAGGTGAATCCTCCCATAGGACGCATGATGAAGTTCTAGACATTCAATGTTCTTTCCAATTCTGTGATCCTGGGATTTTAGGGTTTTTATTTTCTATGCTCAACTATTTAATGATGCAATTAACATTTTATTTTGCTTAATAAACTGATCTATTATCTTCATCAAATTGTCCTTTGTTCCTTTGTTTAAACAGCGGATTGATACACAGTGCACAAATTTGGTATTTTAAAGTTTATTATATGTTTTTAAAAAGATAGGGGGAGGGATAGGAGATCTTTTCTCTGCTGGTTCACTCCCCAGATGCTAAGAGCAGCTGGGGCTCAGCTAGGCCAAAGACGGGAGTCAGGAACTTCATCTTGGTCTCCCGTGTGGGTAGCAGACAATCAAGTACTGGAGTTATCACCTACTATCTCCAAGCAGCTTATTAGCAGCGAGATGGATCAGAAACACAGGCAGCAGGAATCATACCAGGCATTCTAGTGTGGGATGTGATGTCCAAGTGCCTACTTTTTTAAAGATTTATTTATTTATTTGAAAGTCAGAGTTACACATACATACATACACACACACACACACACACAGAGAGAGAGAGAGAGAGAGAGAGGGAGGGAGGGAGAGAGGTGTCTTCCATCCGATGGTTCACTCCCCAATTGGCTGCAACACCGGAGCTGTGCTGATCCGAAGCCAGGGGCCAGGAGCTTCTTCCAGGACTCCCACGTGGGTACAGGGGCCCAAGGACTTGGGCCATCTTCTACTGCTTTCCCAGACCATAGCAGAGAGCTGGATCAGAAGTGGAACAGCCAGGTCTCTAACTAGCGCCCATAGGGGATGCTGGCGCTTCAGGCCAAGGTGTTAACCCTCTGTGCCATAGCGCTGGCCCCAAGTGACTACTTAACCTGTAGCATCATAACATTTGCCCCTATTCTGGTAATTTTTTAAAAGATTTATTTGTTTTATTTGAAAGGCCGAGTCACAGAGAGAGCGAGAGAGAGAGACAAGAGCAGAGGGGAGAGATCCTCCATCTGTTGGTTTACTCTCCAAAATGGTTTCAGTGACCAGCACTGGGCTGGGCTGAATCCGGAGGCCAGGAGCTTCATCCGGGTTTCCCATGTACGTGCAGGGGCCCAAAGGACTTGGCCATCTTCCCCTGCCTTCCCAGGTGCTTTAGCAGAGAGCTAGATCAGAAGTGGAGCAGCCGGGACTCAAACCAGCACCCATATAGGATGTTGACATTGCAGGTGGTGGCTTTTCTCTCTATGCCATAGCACCAACCCTGGTAATTTTTTTTTGTTGTTGCTGTTAAGTAAAGAATTTTGGAAATAAGGGCTTGATTTCCAGAAATTACCTACCTTGGGCACTTATATATATACATATATATATTATATACAATTATAAAAATATAAAGCTATCTAATATTTTCTCAGTCCTAAAGAATGAAAACTTCCCGTTTTCAAATCTAGGAACCTGAATTTCTGAAAATCACTCCAGATTAATGTTTTGCTCACAAATGTTAAACCATACTGACTTAGACTCTACAACTTAGCATGTGTCTGAAATTAAATGCTGAATTTATATCAAAAGTAATGTAAGACTTTGGGAAAATTTATCATGCATGTTTCTTTTCTTATTTACAAGTCAGTTGAAATGTAGAGATGTAGTCCTGGGATGATAACAATCAACGCCTTCTTTGACTTAGGATTTGCTTGTGGTATCCAAGACAGATGTGTCTGTATTTCTCTCAACCTTCCAGCGCAAGAAACAGGAAAGCCCAGCGGCTAATTCAGAAAGTCAATTTAATGGCAGAAACATAGATATACTATTTGAAGACTATTGGCAATCTGTGGCATGTGTTAGCTATGCAAGCTATAATTTACAATAAATATTTTCATTTTGAATGAGTGAGCAGGGGCCAGTGCTGTGGAAAAGCAGGTTGAGCTTCTGCCTGCAGTGCCAGCATCTCATTCGGGTATCAGTTGGAGACCCAGCTGCTCCATTTCCAATGCAGCTCCCTGCTAATGGCCTGGGAAAGAAGTGGAAGATGATCCAAGTGCTTGGGCCCTTGCACCCGCGTGGGAGACCGGGAAGAAGTTTTGGCTACTGGCTTTGCATCAGCACGGCTCCAGCTGGTGTGGCCATTTGGGGAGTGAACCAGCGGATGGAAGACTTCTCTCTGATACTCCCTCTCTCTATCTGTAACTCTGCCTGTCAAATAAATAAATAAATCTTAAAAAAAGAATGACTGAGCATTGTGTTGGCTATATAATTGTGTACAATTTGAATATGAATTTTTAAGAAATGCAATGGAATCAAAGGGTATGTCTTTAACTATGACTCTGTTTATAAGCACTTAGAAATAAAGATTGAATATATTCAAAGTCTACTATGTGAGGATTTGATTATATATTGTTTAGTGATTACAATAATCAAAATAATTCACACAATCACTATCATTCACCCTACACATTAGGTCAGCAGAACTTGTTCCTTTTATAACTGAAAGTCTGTGCTGTTTGACAGACATCTCCCCTTTCCCTTAATCCCAGCTCCTGGAAACCACTGTTCTACTCTCTGCTAGTATGTATTTGAGCTATTTGAGATGCCGCATGTAAGTGAGACTTGCTGTGTTTAGTTTATTTCAGATAGCACGATTTCCTTTAGGTTCATCCACGTTTTCACAAACATAGTTTTCCTTCTTTTATGGCTGGCTAATGGTCCATTATGTATACATACACAATTTCTTTATCCACACATTCTCCATGGACTCATAGGTTGTTTCCTTATATATTGGCTGGTATCAATAATGCTATGATGAACACAGGGTGCTAGTATTTCTTTGACATACTGACTTCATTTTCTGTGACTATATACCAAGAACTGAAATGCTGGATCTTATAATATTTCCATTTTCAATTTTTGAGGATCCTTCACAGTTTTTTCCACTGTGGCTCCACCCTTATACTTTCTTTTCAGTAGTTCACAAGAGTTCCAATTTCTGCACTTTGCTGGCTACACTTATTGTCTTTTTTTCCATAATAGCCATCTGAACTGGTATGAAGTTATATCTCACTGTAGTTTTGATTTTCACTTCTTTGATGATGAGTGATGATCAACGTCTTTTCATATACTTACTAGCTATTTGTATGAAAAAGAGTACTTGTGAAAAATTTCTAGCTCACCTGAAGTCCCCGTTGAAATACTTACTATAGTTTCACACACTTTGCCATTACAGGAAATGTAGTCAAACAGAATCCTCCTGCATTTTTCTACCAATTGTAAACCTATAATTTTCTCAAAATATAAGAAAATTAAACCTGTTGGGTATAACACATTCTACTGTTGATATCTACTGAGGGTCCAGGTACTTATCTAAGCACAGATAACAAAAGTTTTATTGTCTTGTTTCAATTATTTTGTTCCTTTCCAATGCAATTGCTTGGATGATTTCATATTACTTTTCTATATTGGGATCTACAATCACTCTCATCATTTTTCCCTTTCCTCATACTTCTGGGTACATCATACCCTTCTTTATAGCTCCCAGAGAGAACACGTTATACCTCCCTGCCATATCTGCTCTGAGCCATCTGTCCTACCCCATTGATTCCCTCCCTCACAGGTCAATAAAAGAGACTTAGCTGGAAGGCGATAGCTGAGGAGGGAGTGTGAAAAAGTTAGGCACAGCCTCCTGAGCTGTTGGCCTCAATCCCCGTTATCTCTCTCCTTGAGGTAGGTCATGTGGAGAATCTGGGGACACGGTTCTAGTGTGTAGCATTGCTGCAAGGACTATTCTAGGGCAGTGCTGCCCGAAATGACTGAAATCCAAATGTGCAGGTTTTTTTAAACATAGTTATGTTACTTAGGGGCTATCCCAAAGTGTTGGGAAGGCAAGCAGCTACTGCTTACCTGTGCAAAATGCACTCTGGCCTAGACATTCTCTCACATGGCCAGGGAGACTTCTTCACACACATTATGTGTTTTATTGATGTTAGGACTGGAGTAATAAAAGAGGAAATAGTTTGCATACATCAGGAATCTAGGGGTTTGGGACAGTTCATTTACCGGTAGGAAAGTTTCCAAGTGTGGGGCCTGATTCTGTTTGAACATTAAATATTTGAAATTTGTCTGCTTCATGAATTATAAACCATACAAACCTTTTCATTCACAGACATGAAAAAATGCCTTCCTACTCATCATGGATTAAAGCTATTTTCATCATGCTCCTAGCCTTTCTTCTTTATTCTGGTGAGTGTATTTTCTAGTTCTGACGGAAGCACTTGTCATATCCTAGAAAGTGCATCAACAATTACCTAATTCAGGAGTAGGGGGACTAATTGTGTTGGGCAGTAACATTTAATTGGTAATGTGAAATAGGGTATGTTACCCATGTCTTTTTGAATTTGCATGAGTAAATTCTTTATTCTCATGTTAGAGAACTAGAGATAGAATGGTGGGTTAGAAATGGCAGTAGATCTTAGCTCTTCGCTCATCCTTAACTGAAAAAGTCAAAACTCTTTTTCCTTTTGGTAAGTCTGATTCTGTAGTTGTTAAATCAAAGTATGAGTGAAACTCTTCTCTTCCTAACCTGGAACCCCTTAACAATTTGAGTCAATGTTTATCTGCTCTGAGTCTCCTAAAGTCAAGGCCTATTGGTGTATGGAAGATGCACACTGACATATAACCAAGTTATTTCCCTTAAACTTATGGTGTTTGAATTTCAGAATAAAGCAATCTTTAAGGCATTAAATTAAGGTATAATTAATTAAGTATTGCTTAATTTTTTATATTTGAATGAATCATGTAAGCATTGTCCCTTTTGACTAAGATCTCAACTATAAATCTGAAGAAACAATGGAAGATGTTACAAAGTAATATGTAAAATTATTTTTTATCAGGTAAACTTAGGACTTCAAAATGTTTTAAAAATGCTTTATTTTAAGAATTTAGTATTTTGCTACTGCTGTTTTTAGCTACTAAGAGATGTGGTCACTCACTAATCAGGTTGTGTTTTTTGTAAGTTTATGTTTTTATTCCTTTTCATTTGTGTATTTTTTTGTCCTTGATTGTTGCAGAAACTTCCCTTCTGTTTAAACAAGGTAAAAAGCGAAAGGTAAGACAAAATGAATTATTTATGTAGTTAAAAAAGGTAACCTACTAACCTTTTTAAATTATATATTTTAATAAAATTCACCAAATAAAATATACAAGCCAAATGGACCTTCAAAAAGTAAAAATCTATAATGTGACTGTATTAACTTTCAGAAATCACAAACAAAATCACTTGAAATTACCCTGATGTGATAAAAATGTACATATCTTGTTATCCCAAAATTTCATTTTGGGGAATAAACGTTATTACAAACAAATATCTGAGAGATTCTTTGTTGCTTAGCATAGAAATGTTCGTTCTTGTAAAACAAAAGAAAAAGTGTCAATTCAATGATCTGTTTTGAAAATCCATGTATGTGTGTAGTGGATTACTACAGTGAAAAAATTAATTATAGCTGTAAACGTTAGAATGGAAATAGTTTACCTAAAACGTAGGTTATGTAAAAATACAAAGTAGTGTTTTTTGTGTAAATTACCACACTATGAAAACTAACCAAAATGTGTATGTGTGTGTGTGTGTGTGTGTGTGGTGAAATGGTAGAAAAAAATGTGGAGAGAGAAATAGAAAATGTAGTTTTGAGACTCATTTGAATGTGATGAAAAGATTCACAAGAGATAACAGAAGGGGAGCATATGTGACTAATGTATCGAAAGTATATTGCCTTTTTTGTTAATAATAGAAGATATGAAATGTTGATAATTTTTTAAAACTTAAGAAAGTTTTTATTGCTAAGCCTACATCTAGAATGTGTTTATCCTGTTTTTGATATGTGGTATTTCATGTTAGAATTGAATCATATTTTATTGAGATATTCAATATCTGACAAATTTCATGCAGTCTTAATATTTTTCAGCCAGATTGTATTTTATACACATTTAAATCAAATCCTATTTGCACCAGTGAACTTGATCCAGTCTGTGCAAGCAATGGCCGAACTTACCGGAATAAATGTGTTTTCTGCAGTGAAAAAATGTAAGAACATGATCATATATATTTACTGGTTGAAATTAATGAAGAAATCATCATGTTAGTTCATTATGCTGATACTCTAGATATAGCATAAATATAAAAAAAATTGCAATAACTATAAAAGATATCCAGAAAACACTGTATCTTTCCCTAAAGTTTTCATTTCTTTTTTTTTTTTATTTTTCTGAAAGACGTATTTATTTATTTGAAAGGCTGAGTTACAGAGAGGCAGAGGTAGAGAGAGAGAGAGAGAGAGAGAGAGAGAACAGTCCTTCCTTCCATCTGCTGGTTTATTCTGCAAATGGCCACATGGCCAGAGCTGAGCTGATCTGAAGGCAGGAGCCAGGAGCTTACTCTGGGTCTCCCACGTGGGTGCGGGGACCTAAGGCTCTGGGCCATCTTCTACTGCCCTTCTAGGCCATAGCAGAGAGCCGGTTCAGAAGTAGAGCAATCAGGATTCGAACTGGCGCCCATATGAGATGCTGGCACTGCAGGCTGCAGCTTTACCTGCTACATCACAGCGCCAACCCCGTTTTCATTTCTTTTTTTTTTTTTTAACTTTTATTTAATGCATATAAATTTCCAAAGTACGACTTATGGATTACAATGGCTTCCCCCCCATACCGTCCCTCCCACCCACAACCCTCCCCTTTCCCACTCCCTCTCCCCTTCCATTCACATCAAGATTCATTTTGATTATCTTAATATACAGAAGATCAGCTTAGTATACATTAAGTATGGATTTCAACAGTTTGCTCCCACACAGAAACATAAAGTGAAAAATAATAGATGATTTTTTAAATGATGATGAAATCAGATCAGACCTATTGTCATGTTTAATCCCAGTGAGAGTCAAGTTGGCAAACAAAAAAGAGGTCTGCACCCTAATGTTTATTGCAGCTCAAGTCACAATAGCTAAGACCTGGAACCAACCTAAATGCCCATCAACGATAGACTGGATAAAGAAATTATGGGATATGTACTCTTTAGAATACTATACCGCAGTAAGAAACAACGAAATCCAGTCATTTGCAACAAAATGGAGGAATCTGGAACACATCATGCTGAGTGAAATAAGCCAGTCCCAAAGGGACAAATACCATATGTTCTCCCTGATCGGTGACGACTGACTGAACACCAAGAGGGAAACCTGTTGGAGTGAGGTGGACACTATGGGAAATGGTGGCTTGATCAGCATAGCCCTGACTGTTAATGAACAACTAAATACATTATCCCTCTTGGTAGTTTTTTTATCTGTTCTACTTAATATGACTGGTTTAGATCTGTAATTGATGCAGTTATTCTTAAGTGTTGAAAATTAACTGAAATGTGATCCCTGTTGAACATGGTGGTGGGAATGGGAGAGGGAAGAGATGTATAATTTGGGACATGCTCAGGCTGACTTGCCCCAAGTGGTGGAGTTGGAAGCATACCAGGGGATTCCAATTCAATCCCATCGAGGTGGCATGTACCAATGCCATCTCACTGTTCCAGGTGATCAGTTTCAGTTCACAGTTGGTCATGGTGAAGGGACTGGGAGTCAAAGGAAGCACATAAACAAGTCTAGTATCTGCTAACACTAACCGATAGAATAAATAAAGGGGAGAGTGATCCAACATGGGAAGTGAGATACTCAGCAGACTCATAGAATGGCAGATGTCCTAAATAGCACTCTGGCCTCAGAATCAGCCCTAAAGGCATTCGGAGCTGGCTGAAAAGCTCATGAGAGTATTTCAGGCATGGAAAGCCAAGACACTCTGGCAAAAGATCTCTGCGAGTGAGATCCCAGTGGAAAGAACAGGTCATCAAAGAAGGAGGTACCTTTCTCTGAAGGGAGGAGAGAACCTCCACTTTGACTATGACCTTGTCTAAACAAGATAAGAGTCGGAGAACTCAGAGGGCTTCCATAGCCTTGGAAACTCATGACTGGAGCATAGGGAGATTACTGATGCCATAGACAGGAGTGTCAATTGGTAAAGTCAACAACAGGAGTCACTGTGCACTTACCCGTTTTCATTTCTTAAAAATACTTTTGTATCATAGTCCTCTATGGAATCATAGTGGGTGTTCTGCAAATGTAGAAATGACTTTAATTCTATTATGATACACTAACGGTGTACTAGAGACCAAGATGATGACAGTCAGCAGCCTTGAGGATGCACAGCTGATCTTGGTGACGCCACAGTCGACAGCCTGGCAGCCCTCCAGCTACAGGGAGTCTAAGCAAAGCAGGAAGCAGTGATGCATTCTGGAATCCCAAGGCCATCTTTTCAAACGTTCTTCAGATTGCAGGACAACACAGGACACTTCTACCCTACTCTTTTTCCTCTGTCCTTCTGTGGGATTTTTTTCTAACTTCCTTACCTATTTTCCCATTTCCTCCCTCCGCTGTTTCTCCTTATAAAACCTTTGCTCTTACAGTTGCCCGGCTGCCACCTTCTCGAGGACCACTTAGGCAATGCCTACTCCTCTTCTTTCTCAAGTATTGGCAGGTTCCAGCTGAATGAGGTCTAAGCAAATGGAAAGGGTCAGCTGTCCCAAGAACATGACATGTGTAAGACTGGGGACAGATAGAGTCTAGATTCTTGTAAAAAAGCAGCCCAGCCTATGCATCATGTACCAAGTTCAAATATTTATTGAGATGCACATAGCACATTTCCCAGAGAGTTTAACCCATTCTTTTAATAACTTATTTTTCATTATTTTTCTTTTGTTTTCTCTACAGAATTTTGGGTGAAAAAATTAAATTTGTTCGTTACGGGTTTTGCTGAATTTTGATGGAGCTATGCATCCTCTGGGCTGTGATGTGATCCTGGTTTACCGTGGATTCTACAGCTAGAATGACTACAGTCTTTTCAATCAGAGTCTTGAATTCATAGACGTCCACAGAACTCCTTTTGTAGAAGACAAGATGGAACATAGCATGGGAAAGATTCATTCCACCTCTAAGATTTTGTGATTTTTAAGATTTTAGTTGTTCATCTTCAATTACCTAATGATAATTTGCAAATCAAATATCTTAAGCATCTGTTTGGGACAGATACTTTAAGACAGTCTTTCTTATTTATAATTGATATTTTTCCATTAGCATATCAAAATGCATTTACTTATTTTCATGGCCTTTTTATTTATATAAACTGCTCAAATAGTTCTCCGGTGAGCATATTTCCACCTGATGCATTCTTTTCTATTTTCTATAATGTGGATTATAAGTACTCATTGTTGCTCAGCATCAGTCATGTTTTGACTACTTGTTTAACTTGTATCTCTGTCCCAAGACCATATGCTACATGATGTCTTCTTACCCTTATGTGGAAGCCCAAGAATGAAATACCTTGCTCATATTAATCTGTAGTGAAGATAAAATCAGTGTTCCTAGGATTTAAAATAAGTTTTCCTAGTTGCAAAGGGGAAGATTGAGAAGTAAGTGTCTAGAATTTATTTTCTATATTTGAAAATCTATGTACTTTACAATTCTTTTATCCTGGGTACCTTTAGGTGTACTTTGGATGAGGAAAATTTTGAAGGAATTGTATTTTTTTCCCCAATGGAATTGCAGTCAACAAGTGGAACTGTTTGCTGTTGTGTGAGTGTGTCTTACAGATAATCTTAGAGGAAGAAGCTCATAATTGCATTTAATATAAAAAAAGATTCCTTCAAACTGACACTCAAAAGAAGATTTAAAGATAATCACATTTCAGGAACAATTTCTGTATTATAGACTTTGAATAACATGAAACTACTGCATTATAGAAAATCTCTGGATTTTATAAAAGTGCTATATATTTTTATTTTTAATCATTTTGCATGAACAACACTAACTCCTCTATGTACACAATAAAATTACTTTCATTCCTTAATGTGCATTTTTTGTTCATACTAAAGAGGGTGAAAACATTCTGTCTTGTGTTGTTTCCTAAAAGCTCATTGCAGTTTGGGATTTCTGTGATCAAATTTGGTGGCTGAATATTTTTTTCTTTTGGATAAATACACTGAAAAATTCCAATATTATCATGACATCCATCACTTTTCACAGACTCAATCCTTCCTTGTTATGATTATAAATTCTAAATGGCCTAGTTTATTGCCAGATACAGGGATGTCAGAGAGAAAGGAGTTTCATAGTTTGAGCAGATATTTGCCTAGGAATGTAAAACAGATGTGTAAAGAATTTCCAGCATTTTTCTGCTCAACTTTTATGCAGGCTGACCGTGTCTTTTCTAGTTCACACTTAGATAACATTCATCAGTAAGATGTTTCCTCACCAGCCCAGGAATCTTTATCCCTCACCTCAACTCCAGGCCCTTCATTTGTATATTTTGGACAGGTGTGACTCTACCCATGTCTCAATCACATTCCATAGCCTAACGATGTGGGAAACTTCACAGAGTCTACTTTATTCATAAATCTCCCAGCAAGAAAAGGTTATCCTGCCTTTTACTTGAGTGCTGAGTTTACTGGTTCCTTATTCAACATGCACCTCTCCTCCCAAGAGAATGGATTCCAGTACCCCAGCCTGGCTTCCAGGCACAATTTTCTACCCAGAACTCTCTACACTCTAGTACACTTTTGACGTCTTTTGGTGAGAAATAGCACCAAAAGTGTTGACTCCTTCTGAGGCACGAGGCAGATAAGAATTTGGTCTCATCTGAGTGTTTAAGAAATTTTGACTGCTTTAATTTTGTTTTCACCAAATCCCATCTCAAATAAATAAATAAAACATAAAAAGTGCAGAATCCAGTAACACATGGAAGGAGCAAGTATGAGTTTTGTTGGTGTTTCTCATTGTTCACTCACAGGTCTCAAGTGCTGGTTCAAGTCCCAGCCTACTGGCTTCAGCCTGGCATAGCCGTGGATCTTGTGGGCTTTTGGGAAGTGTACCAGCAGACAGAAGACATCTCTCTATTTCCCTCTCCCTCTCACTCTACTGCTCTGCATTTCAAGTAAATGAAAATAAATTAACATTAAAATAATTTCTATTCCTCTATCAACTCCAGACTTGAATAGTATATGCATTTTTTCTTTAGAAAGCAACATTAAACAATCACTGTGTCTAACACTACCTTTACTTGTTTATTTCAAAATTTCAAAAACATCCAAATTTCTGTGCCTCATAGACAGTCTTTGCTTTGATCAATGATACTCAGAAGTCAAGAATTCTAGATCATCCATGTTGGCATAAACCCAAACAATACATTTAAAGAACTGAAGCATAGACTCCATGTCTTTGCAAAGAAATCACTATTTCTTAAAGGATTTGTCATGAAGCTATCTTTATGATTATTCTAACTTATCAATGTGTTATAGCTAAATTAATTAAATGTATGAAATCTAATAAAGGTGTTATCAACAATAGCCATAGTTTAATTACTTCACCTCAAGATGATTTTTGGCTTCTATTTTAATTACATTAATATAATCAGTTTATTACAGAAATATTTTTGTTATTTCTATATGCATAACTCATTTATTTTGGATTTTTTCCACATATACTTTATTCATTTGTGATCACAGACCACTCAGAAAAAAAAGTGACTGGAAGAAGAATGAAACTGTATAAAGCGTGAATGTATCTTAAGATATTGCATTATGACCTGAGTTTCACAAACTAATTTTTAGTTAGCCTTGATATCCATACTTTCATTAGATCACAAAAAAGTATTCAATTGTGTCTTAATTAAAGAATGAAATCCACTGAACATTCCAGTTACAGTCAGCAATAGAATAAAACATAATTTCCCTTCCTATGGGATGATTTTAAGAATCATGCTTTCAAGATGAGCTCAATGCTCAGGAAAAGTCAAAGAGATGGGAAGGAGAGAGGATATGAGAGGGAAAAATTCAGGGGAATTAAGCTCATTAACAGGACTGCCATAGCTGCAGACATTATCAGTAGACAAACTGCAGACCTGGAAGCACTGGCAGCAGAGAGTCTGTCATGATCCATAGGTGGGGAAAGAAGGAGAAGAATACATTTCTAGGGAAATGAGGATCAGAAAATAATTCAAAACCCAATATGACTCCCACCCCCATCCCCCGCCACTGGCCATCAGGCTTCCCCCACCCCACAATAAACCTTTCCTCTAAAAAATAAATCAACAGTAACCTCTGAAATATACCAATACAGTGATCTGCTGAATAAAAAAGATTAGCCTTGCAAAACTGAAGAAACATGGTAGATATTCAAAAGATTTCTTTGCTGTTATAAGAGAATTGATCCCTGGATAAAGCTCTTGAAAGGAGACTGATACTTGGAAATTATATTTCCATATATTGTTCAAGCAGTTTCATGAATGACCTTTATAATAAAGAATCTAAAATTTTAGAAGTTCCTTCTTCAGTTAAATATTAAACTCTTGAATTACCTTATCTTAGCCTACTGAAACACTGACTTTGTTTTCTCATATTATTTGCCATTTCAGAAGATGTGGATTGTTTGACATTTTCTTAATAGTTTTTTTGATTTAACCAGAAAAGGAAATTCCTTACTTTATACATTGTATTTTTATAAGCATGTGAAGACTCTACATGAAAATTATTTCCTTTGATTCAAAAAAATATGAGTTAGATGTAGTTAATTCCATTTTAAAATAATGATCAACTGGAACTTAACATTTTAAATTTATGAAGATATGTTGCTATAATAATAAAAGTACACTTTATTAAGCAGTATAAATCACTTTATAAGGGTTAGGAGCAGAAAGTCTGCCTGACACGAGTTTCTATCACTATGAATTGTAAGTTTTTTTTAAATGGGGAATATGCAAGAGTATACATACAAACTCATTGCCTGGTTGATTAGAAGAATTAGAAAAATCCCTTATCTAGCCTGATTAATAAGTATTTCAACTGAAAGCATTTTTGAATTTTATTCAGATAAATACATCAACAATCACTTTTAATTTACACCTGTAAGCGTGGTTTACCTCTGTCCCTATTTTCATCGGGAAAATGAATTCTTGACTCCAAGAATTTCTCTACATACCCAGAAGGCAAAATCACCAAGCCCACATTTGGATGCCACAAATACTGATGCTTTTACTTCCCATGACTTGGGTGTCACTCCACTAAGCCTACGATAGATTCTCATTTGCGCCTTAGCTGGCCTCCTGAACTTTGATCCTCCACTTATTTTTCTTGTCTATGAGGAGCTCTGAGGAAAAAAGATTCAGGAAAATTTACTCTATTAGAGAGTTCCTCGGAGGAAAAGAAAGAAAGAGGTATTTACTCTATTGAGTTTCCAGACTTGGGCAGTGAAAATACTATAGAGGTTAGCTGAATTTGTGTGTGAGAAAATAGTAGAATAACGAGGTTTCTTTAATTCAAGTTCCACTGCAACCGTTCAATTTTATTTGTTTTGTACATTTTAGACATTGATTTTGTGTTATTTCTATTTTTTTATTTTTTTTTATTTTTTGACAGGCAGAGTGGACAGTGAGAGAGAAAGAGAGAGAGAGAGAAAGGTCTTCCTTTGCCATTGGTTCACCCTCCAATGGCCTCTGCAGGCGGAGCACTGAGGCCTGCGCACCGCACTGATTTGAAGCCAGAAGCCAGGTGCTTCTCCTGGTCTCCCGTGGGGTGCAGGGCCCAAGCACTTGGGCCATCCTCCACTGCACTCCCTGGCCACAGCAGAGAGCTGGCCTGGAAGAGGGGCAACCGGGACAGAATCCGGCACCCCGACCGGGACTAGAACCTGGTGTGCCGGCGCCGCAAGGCGGAGGATTAGCCTAGTGAGCCGCGGTGCTGGCCTGTGTTATTTCTAAAGTTAGATGCTTGAAGATGTTTCAAGTTGATTTTACATCTGTTTCAAATTTCAAATTTGGTTATGTTCTACATTATACATTACTGGAATTGATGTAAATAATTAGAAAAAATGGACATATATTGGGAAGTACATTATAAGAAAATTTACCTATCAGGTTATGATATGAAAAAAATATTGTGGACAACTAATCCCTGACTTGCTGCAGTGCCACAATGCAGAGGCAAGGAAAACCTAGACAGATGAACTTAGATGAATGACAAGTATGACAGACATCCTAGCTCTCAGGATTATGGGGTTTCTACCTAACACTTGCTTCAAGGGACATGGTATATATCCTTCTGTAAGATTTGACATTAAAACTCAGTGTTTGATGCTGCCTTCACATCTTTAAGTCTTGCAGATCACCAAAATCCTCAGTATGAGTTCCCTTGAGTTTCTCAGATGATGCCCCTACCTAATAGGATAGTTTCCCTATCTGCAGGATCCTCTTCATTGCAACCAGCCTTCCAGCTAACTAGTGGCTTCGCTGCCAGGCCACCATTATTCAAAATAGCCAATCACAGAATTCCATTTCAAATAGGGATGGTTTTATCCTCTTGTTACTGCAAAGCCTACTCCTCGCAGTCCCTCTTCATCCAGTCTGTTTCCAGGTTGAACTCTTGTGGTCCTGACTGACAGTGTGTTCCTCTTTCAGGCTGTGAGCATACGGGAGTAATGAACTTCTGTCAATTCCATCTGCCCAGGGCTGGGTGTCAGGATTTTGACTATCCACAGAATCCTAGCCCAAGACTCCTTTCCTCAACAGTGGGGTAAACAAAAAAGGTGAATGAAAAATGGAAAAGAAGAGGAGAATTACTTTCAGTGGGGCGGTGAGTATATACAAATGTACTGAGTTCATTAGCAGCCATGTTATCAAGTGGAGGTTGGTTACAATAGAAATGGGTATGAACTGGAAAAAATGTGTCCACTGAGGCATATTTTATTTTTTAATTGTGGCTTTTAATAGATTAAATCATCAAAAATAAACCAAGCTCTAAAAATACAAAGCAAACAAGAAGATAAAGAAATGAGTAGAGAAGGGCAGGCATTTGGCCAGTTAAGACACCACTTGAGATGCCCACATCCACTCTGGAATGCCTGGGCCCAAGTCCTGGCTCCACTTCTGGTTCAAGCTTCCTGCTAACGTGTACCCTGGGAGGTGGTAAATGATGGCTCAAGTGCTTGGTTCCTTGCTACCCATGTGGTAGCCCTGCATTGATTTCCTGGCTCCTGACTTGAGCTTGTCTCAGTTCTAGTTATTGTAAGCATTTGGGGAGTGAACCTGAGAATGGGAGATTCTCTCTCTCCCTCCCGCTCTCTCTCTCTCTCTTTAAAAGAAATTTTAAAAATATTAAATGGGCGATCCTGAGATTGTTTCTGTCAGAAGTTACAAATTAATGATCTGATTAGCAAAGGATGAACATCAATGAGGAGACCCGAATTCCTGGAGTTTGGGAACAAAGGGCTCATACTCATAAGGCCTGAGAAGTCTAGAACACAAACAACCTCTGGAATCAGAAGCTTCTCTGGAACAAATTTTATTTGCAGTGGAACAAGTGAAAATCACATTGATCCAAAATTATTGTATGATTTATGCTGACCTCACGAACACCCGGGGAAATCCACTGTTCAAAGAGAACTGCAGGAGGTTTTGAAGTTCCAGGTAATCGGATGCACATAGGTGCTTAGCACTTTCCCTCGTGGTTCAGATTCAGTTTTCCTTTACTCAACCTAAAAAAAAGAAGGAGAAATCAACGTCCACAGTAAGAGAAAATGTTATTGTCTAAGAGCCACGTGCAGGAACGCAGGCCTCGGTGCTGGTGTGTGCGGCTGTCAGTGACTGCCATGAGAATCTGCACCTCCCAGCCAGTCCCTTCTCCCCTCTGCACCAGGCACCTTATTCATCACATAGGGAACTGGGGTCTAGCGTCCTTTCTAACAACTCTATGACTATTGGGGACACGTTAAGATTTATTTATTTCTGCAATAATGACTTCTTAAGTACTTAATTCTAGAATGGTTGAAACAGTAGAGATTATTCTTCCTTATTCCTATAGTTCATAGTTGAATATTTGGACATTCTGAAAGCTAAAGTATCTTTACCATTTTAAACAGCCAATAATCATCTTATTTCTTGTGCAGGGAATTTTAACTCTTAAAGGTTTGAATAACTAACCATATCTCAGCTTCCATATTGTTAATTAAGTTTAAAATAAACCTTATTGGGCAACAACTAGAAATGGAAGGGCTTTGTAGTAGTGTTTATCCTTTTGTGTATTTTACAGGTTCATCTTCTCTTGCGAACGTCAAAGCTCAATGAAAGCAGAAATGACTGTCTGTTTTGCTTACCACTTTCCCTCCAGTCCTCAAAGAACTGCTAAATACACAAGTTGTTCAGTTAATATACGGAAAGCAAACGAATCAAAAGTAAATTTACTCCCACATTAACATTTGAATAAATGGCATTACTCCAGGAATTAACTAAATTTATCTTTTAAGAGTTAAGTATCATTTTTTGTGTCCTTTGGACAAACAATAGCCAAGCCACTGTTGAAAAAAACTACAGAGCTATGTGGAAAAACATTATTTTATCCTCCATGGATCAGAATAGAATTTCTAATGCAAATGAATACAGAGCCTTCTTACCTCTTTGCCTCGTTAAATACACAGCGGTTACCATAGGTTTTCCCATCAGAACCACAGACTGGTTTGAAGACAGATGGACACTTTGCATTTCTAACCGGAATCTTGCTGATGGTACTACCAGCCTGCAGTAATGTTAAAGATCATTAGATAAGGATAGGATAGCCAATGTGCATTATAATAAAACAAATATTCATTGCTCTTTTATTATTAACAATACATAGGGCCGGCGCCGCTGCTCACTAGGCTAATCCTCCGCCTAGCGGTGCCGGCACACCGGGTTCTAGTCCTGGTCGGGGCGCCGGATTCTGTCCTGGTTGCCCCTCTTCCAGGCCAGCTCTCTGCTGTGGCCCCAGAGTGCAGTGGAGGATGGCCCAAGTGCTTGGGCCCTGCACCCCATGGGAGACCAGGAGAAGCACCTGGCTCCTGCCATCAGATCAGTGCGGTGCGCCGGCTGCAGCGCGCTGGCCGCGGTGGCCATTGGAGGGTGAACCAACGGCAAAAGGAAGACCTTTCTCTCTGTCTCTCTCTCTCACTGTCCACTCTGCCTGTCCAAAAAAAAAAAAAAAAAATACATAGTTTATCAATCATTTTATTGATCCCTTATATTTAATCCACATGAGAGTATTGAAAAAAGGAGTATATTTTATTCAGTGTTTTTAGCTACAGGGATGGATGCCTCATGCAACTTCCTGCAAAGTTCATTTTGTTTGATCAGAATCACTGTAAATTGTTGTTCATGAAGGCAGTGTATTTGATCCGCCATTTCTGTTCTTACAAAATAGAGTGGCTGAGGTGAATTGAAGAAGTAGTAACACTAACCTGGGTCTTCTTTATATTGCCATTCAAAGGACCTTCTGCATTTTTGCTTTCTTCTTGATTGTAAAAAGACCGTGATTGCCTATGCTGAGAGGATGACCCCGGCTTGCCTTGCTGAGAGGACGACCCCGGCTTCCCTGGCTGAGAGGACGACCCCGGCTTCCCTGGCTGAGAGGACGACCCCGGCTTCCCTGGCTGAGAGGATGACCCCGGCTTCCCTACTTGATGAAAAGATCCAGAATTTCCTTGCTTGTTAGAAGCTTCTGTGTTTCCTTTTTGATTATATTCTCCTGAATTTCCTTTCAAAATCCAAGTTTCTGACGTGCCAGGCTGGTTCAAAACTTCTGGCCTTTCATGCTGATTAAAATACCCTGGTTTTCCTGGCTGGTTAGAATATCCTGGTTGTCCTTGCAGATTAAGTGTGCCTGGTTTTCCTTGCTCATAACTACCTCCTTGCTTATTGGGTGGGTTAAGATCATTTTTTTTCTCTAGAAAAAGTTGAGGTTCTTGATTCCCTTCTGGTTTGAAAACAATTGGTTTGGAAATCTGGGTTGACGACCCTGGAAAAAACATAATGACAAACACAAACATAAAAATAATTACTCTAAGAATTTAAAATCAGCATCATTCACCCCAATATACAGCTTGTATTTAATGTACTCTTGATTTTTTAACCAAGCCTCAGGATAGAATCTTCCTACTCTTCATCATACATTGAATATGTTGGATTTTGGATTTTCTCTCATACAGTCAGGTTAGCTTTACCCATTTCTAAACTGTAGAGTCTGAATTATTCTTATTGAAACTTTGTTCTGCCTCAGATTACTTCTAATGATTTTCTGGCCTGATAAATGTCTATTATCAACTTTATTTAGATCCCAGAAACTATTCCCAAATTCTGAACCTCACTTAATAGTTGATACCATCAGAATTTTCTAGATCTAACAGCTGGCAGATATGAGCCCTAGCCTAGTCTATAAATGAGTAAATGAAGTGGCTTTTGAAGTAAGTACACTGGCATTCTATTGAGTCTGTGTTTCTTATCCTTTATTGTATTTCTTTCTGCCTATTTTGGTTTGTTTGTTTATTTGATAATTTCTGTATCCTGTTGACTTCTTAATATGGAGTTTACTTTCCTCAAAAGTTTTATTCAAACTTGCATTTATGTTTCACAGATTTCCTTGATACATATTTTTTATTTACATGACTTTTAAATTATTTCAATGTGGAAGATTCATATTTATCCTTATGCTTTCACTTGCACTTGCATTTACTCTGCTGTATATTTCCCTGAGTGTATATCCTTGTACTTTCAAGTCAACTTAACTAAAATCAGATGTGTCATCAATTGTTATCCACTGAGCATGTTGTAGTAAACTACTGCAGGAGGTTAACTCCAAGTACAGACACAGAAGTTTAGCAGTTACCAGCCTTTGATAAACTGCGACGCTGAGTGAAGTCTAAGGGTGTAATCTAGCCAGTCATCCAGTTTAACAAAGAACATGTATTTAGAGGTGGGTGTCTAGTCTAGAAGGTAGGATACTGGTAAGATGCTCATATTCCATATCAGAGTCCTTAGGTTCCATACCTGGCTCTGGTTCCTGACTCAAGCTTCCTGCTAATGTACAGCATTGGAAACAGCTGTGATGGCTACAGTAATGGAATTCCTGCCACCAGGTGGGAGACATGGATTGAGTAGCTTTTGCCTGTCCCAGCTCCAGATATTGCAGGCTTCTGGAGCAAGGAGCACCAGAGAGCTCATTCTTTCTGCCTCTCCAATATGTATTTTAAAAAATGTATTTCTATGATAGAATCATAGCTAGAGATACAACTAATGCATAAGATGCATATGGTCCTGCCATCTTGAAACCAAGAAGTCTTGTAATAGGTTCACACATGTAATGTGTAGCAGCATAATCAATTCTGTAAAGTGAGAAGTATACTAGACAATAGAGAATATGAGAGAGAATATGACATACTGTCTCTTTCCTAAAGGAGATAACAGATAAGAAATATGGGTAACAACCAGAAAAATAGCTCAAAGAGAAAAATTATTTCAGCAGACAGATGAGTATATGCATGGTCTCTTTGAGTTCTGGGAATCAAATATTGTTGATTAACAACTGCTAATACCAACTGGGAAACATTTAGAGATGTAGATGAAATGGGAAAAATGAATTGGCTGAAATATTAATTGTAAGTCATTTTTAATTTTTTATAGGTAACACAGCAAAGGGAACCAGATCCTGAAGATACAAAAAGATGAATAGTTTAAAATATGTTTTCCTTCCTTTTCTGTCCCAAACAACCCATTTTCCTTCCTGAAACACAATTATGTTTACCAGGTTTTTGTTGAATTTTTGATATCCTGTGTATTTACAAACATGTATGCATATTTGTTATTACAATTAATAGCCCACTTTAGACACTCTTCTGTGACTTGTTTTTCTCATCGACAATTTAGTGGAGCTTTCTGTTTGTCAATGAGTTCTTTCATTTAATCCCTTAATGCCTGCATGCTATCCCTTATTATAAGTTTACCATAATTTATTTGCCAGCCTTCTAGCAATAAACAGCTACATTATTTCTTTCATTTGCTAGTATAGATGATGATTCAAAGAAAATATTAATATATCATTTTTATAAGAATAAAATTACAGAATAAAAACTAAAATTGGGAGTCAAAAGAATAATTAAGATATTAATAGATTATGGTTGGACCATCTATTTTTAAATTGAAAATTTGGAAAATAATTATCTTTTGCTCTTTTACTTTGCTTCATTTTATAATTTCCTCTTCTGATTTTATACTCCATTATGTGCTTGTCATTGCTTTCCTAAAAACTCTCTTTTCTTGCTCTTCTCCATGCAAATGCCCACCACGTCTACTATTCACATAGTTGTATCCGTTAATGAATACGTGCTGAGTACATACTATCATCTAGCCAGGCAGTGACAACATGGTATATGTCATCATGGAACATATGTACTAGTAAGAGATTTTAACTGTATGAGTTTGTTTTCTAATAAAGTATGTGCACGTATATATATATGTGTGTGTGTGTATTTCTCCATTATTCTGTCCCATTTTTTAGTTTTTGTTCTTTTTTTTTACAGGCAGAGTGGACAGTGAGAGAGAGAGACAGAGAGAAAGGTCTTCCTTTGCCGTTGGTTCACCCTCCAATGGCCGCCGCGACTGGCGCGCTGCGGCCAGCGCACCGCACTTATCCGAAGCCAGGAGCCAGGTGCTTCTCCTGGTCTCCCATGGGGTGCAGGGCCTAAACACTTGGGCCATCCTCCACTGCATTCCCTGGCCACAGCAGAGAGCCTGCCTGGAAGAGGGGCAACCGGGACAGAATCCGGCGCCCCGACCAGGACTAGAACCCCGTGTGCCGGCGCCGCTAGGTGGAGTATTAGCCTACTGAGCCGCGGCACCGGCCCTGTTCTTATTTCTTAACTCTCATACAATAACACCTCGCTAATGACATTCTACTTTTAATACTACCGCATGATTGATATTACTTAACAGGATAGTTATGTTCATGCATTTACTTAACAGGATGAAACAACTTTTTGGTTACTCAAAAGAAGAGAGAACCTCTATGTCTTACAAGCATAAGTTGAAGGTCCTAGTCGTTTTAGCTTTACTTCTTTTCATTAGCTATAAGAAAGATGGAGGCCATAATTTGGAGAAAAATTATAATCTGTTTTATTATCATTAATTTAATATCTTGTGTTAACTGTGTAATTTATTATTTCAAGAAGTTTATACCTCTGAATGAGAAGTGTACATGTAGCTGCACTAAGGTCAGTAATAGAAGTATATTGAATATCATGTACCCAAGAACTCAAGTAATGGTGACCATGCTCTTATCCACAAAATTCATATAAAAACCCTATAAGAAAGTATAATTACTTTCATTTTACAAATGAAAAAACTGGGACTAAAATAAACAGGTTGTTCAAAATCACAGTAGAAAAGGCCAGGAGTTGAGCACATTTTAATCTACCATCAAGCAGAGGATCATAACACAAAACCATGCCCTATGGATCCACAGGAGCGTGAATATTCATAAACTCTCATGAACCTTCCAGACTGAATTTATATATCCCTGTATAATTAATATCTTGCCTTTCCGATTCTTTTCTCTCTTCTTCTATTCAGCCACACCCAACTCTTCACTCATGTTACACTGCGCACTTACTTTTATGTCTCTGGATCTGTATTTTTTTTTTCTGAAATGAACTTTTTCCACTTATTTGTCTGAAGGATTTTTTTCCTGTTTTAAAATCCTCTCACAAAGCTTTCCTAAATCACTAAACATTTCAAATTCTTTTATTCAGAGAGTTGGAAGGAAATTCACTGGCTGTGACGTTCTTACCTGAGAACATGGCCAGGAACATGAAGGATAGGAAAATGCATACCCCCATCGTGGAGTCAGTTGATTGAGACTTGATTGGCGAGTGGAGTAAAGTGTAACTCCTCAGTAGACGCTCTCCGAATAAACCATGCTGATCATGACCATGTTATATATTCGAAAAATTCTCCACCCTAATTGCTAGACACTGTCACAGTCTTTAAAAATTACAGAGTACCTTTCACAAACTGGAAGGTGTTATTTCTCAAGTGGTCATTTTTAAAATGAGCTTCACGCCCCAACTCCCATAAATATCAACTTAACTTTAATATACATCTATCAGATATCTTCTCCTTTAAAAAAATTAAAGTAGTAAAATCTGGGAAAATGATAGCACCAGTGTTCAAAGTTTTATTGTTAAGGGAAGGTTTATCTTCAGTTGGTGCAGTAATTGACACTATGAGTTTATCCATTCCTACTAGAGAATCTCAAGACATTTTTGTTCATATGAATTATGTTCTAATTACTTGTCAAATTATATTTTAAAAGGAAGTAAAATGCATTGAGTATTGGTCATTAGTAAATGATGAATGCATGCAGCAGGGAATGATGACAGCTAATGTGTTTTTAAGAGGTAACAAGAGACAATGGGTCTCATGTCTGAAGAATAACATTACACTTGTCAGCCTCAAGCTAAGAAGCGTCTTTTCTCAAGACATTACACCAAGCAGAAGATAGTGTGAAAATGACCCTGGGATTTTCACTTGGTCATAAACGCAATATTATAAAACAGTGAAATACTGTCATCAAAATTAGCTTTGTTACATAAGAGAAATTTCAATTAATTGGAGAATTCCAAAAGATATCCTTGATAATGTGAGATCTGGAAAACAAATAGCATGAAGTAGTTTGGAGGCAGGAGGAAATAGAAGGCTGAAAAGGGCAGGCTAAGGATAAAGTATTCCTTGGTTTCATCTTTTCAAGGGCATTTATATGGTAGACAGAAATCATTTTTATCTGTGTAGTTCTAGATGGCATAATCTGTATAAAGAAGTACAGGATTAATGCCTTTAAGTTCTAAAGAAAATTTCAACTTTGGAAAAGAAGGTGAACTAGGTAATTTTTTTCAATCCATTCCAATTTGAAGATCCTCAGAATAGTATTTCTGGGTTGTGCTTTATTTTCTCTTTAGCCTATTTAGAAGAAAGACAATTTTAAAAGTCAGTGTCTTTAAACCAAGTTACAATTTTATGGTATAAAGAGAAAAAACTTGTAAAGCTTTCTACCAGAAGAAGGCAACTTTTTCCCCTGCATAATTATCCTCTGAGTGGACTTGGATTCATATGAGTGTCAAAGAGTCATGGCTCATGCCTGGATCCATGACTGGATCAGATATTAGCTC